CAGTTGTTTACTCAAGATACTCAATGTTAGTTGAACGGATACCATCAGTAACAGCCTACTGCGGGAGAGAGCAAATTAACTTCCAGCTGAAGAGGAAATTAGAAAAAGACGTTAGAATTGGATAGGACATACATTACGGGAATTATCAAGCTGCATCACGAAGCAAGCGCTTACCTGGAATCCTGAAAGGAAATGGAAAAGAGAAGGGCCAACGGACACACTGCGTCGAGAATTGGAAGTAGACGTGAAAAGGATGAATAGCGACTGGAGTGGATTGCCCATGACAGGGTTGGATGGAGATTGGTTGAGGGCGGCGTATTCTCCTCCACGAGGGTTAAATGCGTAAGTGATTACCTAAACAAACATTGCCACCCAGTTATTCAACCAATAATTATTCAGTCAATATTAATTCCAAAATTAAAAAAATAAACAAGTTGATAAAGAATGTAAACAAATTACCAAGCACACCAAATAAACGTTATCATATCCTTTGTGGATAGATCATGTGCAGATTCGTTTGAAAGATAATATGTGGTTGCTCTATAACACAGATTGTTCCCAACTCTGAAAGAAAGTTTTAATTAACAATCAAAAATGCATAATCTCAGTCAATGCAAGCAACACAATCGTTTTTCTCTTTTCTTTCTACTATTCATTCGACGATACATACATTGTCGTTTATTCTTGTTCTGTATTCACAAACGTGCTTATCAAACTGTTTAAGTATTTCGCGTTTCCTTAATTTCTCTTCGCTTTTTTTCTCCCTATCCTTATTCAAAATCAACTCAATATTCTTCTAGATTACAGAGAAACTGACTTAGTGTTGTTCTACCGTAATACTATTTTTTCTTTTTCCTTTCATTTTTTCTTTTTCGAAATATGGCAGACTTTATGCTAACATTATTGAATCTTGTGTATTAATATATTTCTTAAGAAACCCAAAATGAGTTCTTCACAACACTTATGTACCCACAAGATGTTTGTGAATAATAATGGTGGTAAAAATCAATATGGCTGCCGCCAAGACCAAGTACCAACCAAAAAAACCAAATGCAGTTCAGGGAGAAACATGGAAACTCAGTGGAGACGTAAGAAAAATGAAAACTATAATAAAATACAAATTTTACAATCTCAAATGGAATCAAAAGAACTAACCAGTGTACAACTGAAGGAATCAATAGGAATAAACTAGAGGCATAAACATGGAGAGATTTTCGTACACAAAACCTTCAAAATGGATCTTACACTATGATCATTATTATTGTTGACTGATGCTAAGTTAAATGAATCTATATGTTGTTGTAGTATGGAAGGGGCATCAATGAAATAATCAGAAACCGTAACAGTGAAATAAATGTATGCAGCCAACGCCACAACCTGATTATAAACTAAAGGTGCATTCACAAAGTCATACGTGCATAGATCACACAATTTTTGCCAAAATTCTAGCACCTGTCTGACTAATGCATACACGTTCCTTTCTTCGTGTATCATAGTTCGTGAGCTTTCGCAATCAGTGAAACGAACCATACCAAGGAAACGAAGAAGCTACTTGTTGATTCTTCCTAATTGTAATAAAGGTCTGGTTCCTGCCCAGTGATTAAGCTACATAATATCAAACTATTAAGAGTTAGGAATCGTTGGTTCATTCCGATAGATATAGGGCAAAACATAAAGTGAAAGCCAAGTTGACGTAACGGCTAATCATCCTTCTGGAAAGTAACGCTCTTTTTTCACCGTTTTCAGGTTCTCTATGATTTTCGAGATTAGGATTTTAATCTAAATGGACTTATAAAAGCAGGCACATTGTATCAGGAGTTGGTAAGCAGAGGAACTGCCACAACCATCCACCAAGTAGTAAGTTCACTTAAAGGGTCGAAACAACGAATAGTGAGGCAGCATTTGTTACGCATCTCCTCTTATTTCAGCCCTATCACTCCGTTAATCTGAGGTTTCTTCTTGTTCATATTATTTATGCAAACGATCAATTTACTTATCCTGACGATTATCTTTCTTCCTCTAGTCTCAATTGCAGCTTTATTGTTGGCCATACTGAGACAAATGAAGCCTCTATCCAATAACGTGAAAGAGACGCCACAGATATTCAGGGCTTTGCAGCCTTTTTGTTCGTAACACTCTTATAGTCGAGGGTCCTAACCCAGTCAAAGTACGGTTAGGGACGAAAGAGTCTGAAGATTTATTTGGAGGATAGTTGATTTATCGAGAAGTATGTGGGCTCAGCTGATAAGTTGTTGTGGGGAATGCTCAGCATTGCGTAGTAAATGGTGATATAGTATGGATGGTTTCCCAAGCGTGTGTCCATTAAAACTGATGACGTCAGCACCAATGTCGTGGTCTTATAGAATTACTCGTTTGTTGGGATTTATCTATTACTTTAACGACATCTGGTTCTAGCAACTTCAATATCCTAAAACAAATGCGTTCAGTCACCAGTAGTAGGGATATGAGGTCAATCGGCCCATATTAATCCTTGCAATTTGTAGTACTAAGAAGGTTCAATTGAACATTGAATGGATCAAAAGAAGGTACTGAAATTACGTGTTCTGGCAGAGAACACCAGTAATTCAATCCTCGATATAATAAACGGAGCTTCCGACGTAGACGATCCGATCTTGGTTTATTATATTTCTTATAATATCCTTTCAAATAATCAATCCTTGAAGGCAGGGAAAGATAAAACATATTATTGCTGAAACCATCGTTTAGTATACGCTAAGCCAGTATTTAAGCACCCAGTGACCTCCGGTAAGATAACGGAAACAGATTGTGACGCCTCGGTCTATTTTCATAAAATAGGCCTTTGAGACCTTTCACTCTTTTGGTTCATCACCGTGGTACTGGTTCTCGCATATCCGCCTCATACTTGAAACAAGGGCGTGCTGCCCGAGTCCCATATTTCAAATGTATCGTCACAAGAGTCGGATGCAATACCCTAAATACTTCCTAGTCCATGTAATGAAATGACTTACGCATAGCACACTGCACCGTGAAACTTTTGGCAGCGTCAGCTGTGCAATTACTCTTAGTTTAAAGGAAATTGCTAACAATAATTCCCAGATCTTTATAGTCCATCACTTTAGGTAACGCAACTCGACATATTGCTCAATGATATAAATTGTCATAGTTATTTGTTAGCATCAGCACAGTCATGTTAGAATTACGTTTTTATAAATACATACACATTATTTCAACCAGTGAGTTGAAATGATACTTTTGTTTTATTTCACATAAGATTGTAGAGGTGAATAAATCCCCATAATCAATAGCCCTGTAAGTTTTTGACATTTGGGACTGACTACGTTAGTTTTAATGGACTCATCAAGCTGAAGGCGCTCGGTCACGCATCCGGACCAGATCATCAGTTGGAATGCTGTCTGCAACTCCCACTGCAACCGCTAGCTAGTTTAGATCAGTAACTCCTCGACATACTGATAACTTATCAAATATATCTTCGAACCCTCTCACTTCTAACTTTTGATTTCACTGGGTGGGCACGATTCAATTATAGGTGTAACTGGTTAAATTGTTGTCAAACTAAATACACTTGTGGCACCTTCAAGTTGTAGTTTATGGGTTCCCAAAGTCTGATGTCACTGACAAAGTTAGAGCAGTGATTTTGCTACGGTTAGTAAGTCATTAATCTAAAGTGAAAAAATGAATGGACCGAAGAGGAACTCCGCTTTATACATTATTCAACGCTGATAGAGTATAATTTGTCTGTACTCGTTATCTCCTGTCACTGAAAAAGTTATTTATCCAGTTTATTAATCCTTCCTCTACAGTGGGATTCAATAAATATGATAGGCCTCCCCAAGAATCGTATTGTTTTTTGACTAAAAGATTATTCCCTTCCACATAGTTTAGAATAGTCCTCTAAATGATCTTTTCCATTAGTTTGGCGACTACACTTATTAGATCAAGGAGACTATAGTTACTAACTTAGTCACTACCTCGCTGTACCAACTCGACTGACGATTGCATCTTTCCAGTTTCCAAGCAGTTTAGACTGCTTCAGAGACATTTAAAACAGCACTGCCATAGGTCGATGAATTATATTTTTCAAGGTTTCATTGGTGCTGATTAATGTCGTCAAAACTACTGCAATTATTTGATTTGAGATGTCGAAGTAATCATAATAAACCCCTCTCCTCAATGACCACATGAACCATCTGCTATGATTAGAAATAATTATAAGTCTTTCCCCATAGTCAGTGGAATGCACTTTACTAAAATATCTTAGTAAGGCTACACTTTCTGAAATATCCAATCCTAATAATATCAACGTATTTTATTCTGCAAATAAAGTGAGATTCAACTGTTCCTCTGAGTTTGATCTTTTATATACAGGAACTACATTTTCTGGCCATTCCTATAATACCTAAGCAATTGATTTCACACCAAAGTCTTGCCTTACTTATCAAGTCGTTGCATACGTTTATGGTCTTACAATAGGTGGATATGCAGTCTTCCAAGCCTTTGAAAATTAATATGTTTAAGTGCGTTTTCTTATGTTCAAGATTCTTTTTGCACAGCTAACTGTATTTCAATGGGTAGTTATGGGGTTTACATGTTACTAAAATTGTTCAAATGGTTGTGGACGGAATAGAAGAAGCTTTCGCTTAACGAACTTCCGTGCCTAGTAGTAGTGGGTCACCTATATTTCCAGGCAGGAACATAGGTGTAATAAAGATAGAAGAGGAAAAAGAAATTGGTATATAATAGTAGGATACTATCCTTAGTCCTCAAGAATATGTGAAGTTTTCTCTTAAAGGACTTCTAAAAGTGGTGCGAGTCGGCCGGTACGAACTACACTTAACTGTCAGTTTGAACGTTTCTTAAAAACTGAAATCTTATCGTGACATCGAGTTGAAGTCAGAAAGAAAGTAACCGAATTCTATCGATTTACCACAAAGATATTGGATTTTAAGTGAACGGGAATTACAACTCAAGGTCAGCCTTGAAGTCATCTGTTCGTGTTTATGGATGTAGTCCGTCCTAGTCCACACAGAATCACAAGAAAAAGCTTACTTCAAGTGGCTGAGTAATGAATTATACATCTTTTAGTAGCTTTTTTGTGTAGATTAGTAATAAAGTCGCAAGTCGAATCTTCCGTGCACCGAATACCAGACGACAGTTTCCCGGATGTTCAGAATTTTCTTGCAGTTTTAGAAAATCTATTCTACCATGGCTTAAAATGTAGGTTTATGAATGTTATAATGTCCAGCTCATAATTTTCTGGTCGGGAAAAATGTCCCAAAACACCCCTGGTGTCTCATACTTCAATTATCTAATTTGCCCAGTTTTTCACATACGTCATCAGTGAAACTTCTTGACCATCTCAAGAGTAATTTCTCAAAGGTATCAAACCCGTTAATTTCGCTACATCCCAGCTTCGAGCTTGGATCAAACTGTCTCTTGTTAGGTGTTGTCTGCACTCTGCAATGTTAGATTTAGTTCAACTGAAGCCCAATTTGACGTAAGTCGTGTTATGTAGATTAACGGCTGTATATTTTTTGATAAAATTTCATTTACAACGAAAGCAATCTTGAGTTGGATGATTGGCAAATGCCTTTTGATTTCTTAAAATTGTTCATCTACTTACCAAATCTGAATATCTGGAAACCTGGTAAAGTACACAACTTCACCTCACCTAATTCAAATATATACTCTTATGATAAACTGAATTTCTGACGAATAATTTCAGTCTGAGAGTGTTATGAAGGCTTCATTGTGTCAGTCTAAGTTCGTATTTCTCTAATATCGGTCCATTGAAATGTCCAGGTAGACTGAAAGCCCGTTCATCACAAATCACTTATCTTTCTTCAGTGGTTACATCTAGCTACATACTTGACTACAAAAGTGTAAGGGCGAGTCAAAGTGCTGCCTTTTCTTAGTTATTTACTCGAAATATACTGTTGTGAGTGAATATGAAGTATCAGTTGCAATAGGCTGAATGAGCAAGTCATATATTATATATATATATATATATATATATATATATATATATATATATATATATATTCGATTGACCCAGACTAGAATATGTAGAAGTGACGTTCTGGTAAATGATAAATTCATTAAGAATTGGCTGTCCACGTGTCGATCCATTACTAACCTTTGTTCGTGTTTTCATGTAATCTTGTTGACGATTCTGCAACATGTGATCTGTCTGGCTTTGTCTCAGGTCAGGTCAGGTCAGCTACAACGTAGGACCAGGCACATATATGCATCGGTCCAAGTTGCCATACCTCGTTAGCACAACAAGAGGAACATCGGATTCATAGTAGTTAATCTAGTGTTGGTAGTAGTATATAAATTATAGGTTGTATATAAGGATATAGTACAGGAAGGAAGAGAGATATGAAGCAATTTTAGTCTCAAGGTTTAAGGGAAGATAAAGAGTGTATACACCTACGCCATTGTGACCGATTCTGAGCCATGTCACCTAGAGTCTCCAACCATTGGTTACGATAGTCACGCGGACCCCAACCAGGTAGTCTGCATCTGCCAACATGGCTCAGGCTAGAAGTTAGTGACTTCAAACACTGATGCCATGTTTTGGTTTGGCCGCCCCTAACTCTCTTCCAACCGTCCCCAATACTAGTCATCATAGCGCGTCGTGGTAATCGGTGTTCAGGCATACGTAACACATGGCCCAACCATCTCAGTCGATGAAGATTCATCACCTCATCAACTGATTTACCATAGTTCCCTAATATCCTGCGTCTAACCTCACTATTACTTACCCGGTGATCCCAGCAGATGCGAGCAATATTTCTAAGGCATCTGTGGTCAAATACTAGTAACCTACGAGTATCTTCTACTCTTAATGGCCATGTTTCACAACCGTAAAGTAGGACAGAGCGAACTGCTGCGCAGTATACTCGTCCCTTAATTGATAGACGGATATCTCGTCTACGCCATAGGTGACGTAAGTTGGCAAAGCCAAACGAGCTTTTTGAATCCGTGCTGAGATTTCGTCTGACACCAACCCATTAGGGCTGATCAGACTTCCAAGATAAGTGAAGTTGTCGACGCGTTCGACTACTTCACTTCCTATCCTTAGTTCGAGTGTTGACGCAGGCCAGTCCTGGAGTAACAATTTACATTTGGATGGGGAGAAACGCATCCCAAACATCCTGGCATTATTACTGAGTTCCAACAGAAGACTCTGCATTTTGCCAGCGTCTTCACCAAACAGGACTATGTCATCTGCGTATTCTAAGTCGCTTAGTGGTCCCCCTGGTAGGAGACCAATTCCGGAAAATTCAGTCGATGAGAGTGTTATTTCCAGCAACAGGTCTATAATGAAGTTAAACAAAAATGGGGATAGTGGACAGCCTTGACGGACACCACTTGAGGTTGTAAAATCATATGACAGTTTGCCATAAGCTCTCACTCGACTAATAGTGTTCGAGTAAAGAGCCTTCAAAAGGTTTATGTACTTCTCAGGTACACCTTTCAATGACAGACACTGCCACAGAACCTCTCGGTCTACAGAGTCAAATGCTGCTTTCAAGTCAAGAAAAACTATCATTGTCGGACGCCGATAAGCGTGTCTGTGCTCTAAAACTTGACGAATGGTGAATATGTGGTCGATACAGCCACGACCAGGTCTGAAGCCAGTCTGATTTTCTCGTGTTTGCAGTTCACGAGTCTTAGTTAGGCGCCCGATAATTATTGAGGCTAGTATTTTAGATGCTATGTTAGTCAGACTAATCCCTCTATGGTTATCGCAGGATGATTTTGACCCCTTTTTATATATTGGGACAATCAGTGATTGTGACCAGTCGGATGGGATTACATCCGTCTCCCAGATTTTAGCCAGAATATTAGTCAACCTAATCGCTAAAATTGGACCACCATATTTAAAAACCTTTGGAACCAATCCATCAGGACCAGCTGCTCTTCCCCGTTTCAGATTACCTATAGCCTTTTGAACTTCAAGTAGGGTCGGGGGGCCTACTTCAATGTTCCATTCAGGTTTTCTGGGAATGGTGGGTAGTTGTGCAGTAGCTGAAGGCCAGCTAAACTGCTCATTAAAGTGTTCCGCCCATCGTTCTAAACGTTTAGGTTGAGAGCAGATAAGGGTTCCGTCTTTTTCCGAGATTGTCTCACTTACACTTGACTTCTTAATTCCGGTTTCTTTTATTAGTCTGAATAGTTGCCTGGTGTTGCCTACAGCCTCTGCCTTTTCCATCTCTTTTGCTTTCGTTGCCCACCACTGCTCACGATCGTTCCTTAGGCTTTTAGTTAACCTAGATCTAATTTGTTTACGCTCTTCGTCATGTTCAGAGCCTGATGGGATGAGTTTACGCGAATCCATCAGTGAAATAGACTTAGAGGAAATCCACTGGTTTTTTGGAGCCCTATGGTTTAAATGACTAATAGATGTTACTGCCGTTTCCACAGCTGTTCGTGTGTCTTTCCAAGCAGCATCTGGGTCAGTCTCGTTTACAGAACTGCCTAGATGTGAACTCAGTTGCTTCTGGAATTCGCATTTGGCTTTCTCGTCCTCCAGTTCAATCCTAATGGGTCTTCTTAGTGTACTTTTCCTGCGTCCATTGAGGCGCAGATAAATGCGTGCTCGTATTAAAGCGTGATCAGAGTCTAAACAAGTATTCCAATACGAGCGACAATCTTCTATTGAGCCTCTCCAACGATGACTGATGACAATATGGTCTATTTGAGTCCATCGTTGGTTTGGTGCAGGTGGTCGCCATGTTAGACGATGTCTCTCCTTATGTTTAAAATTAGTGCTTGCTAAAAATAAACGATTGTCTGAGCATAGTTGCAACAGACGATCACCATTATCGGTTCGTTGAGCCGGAATACTAAAACACCCACCTAAATGTCTTTCTGTTTGATTTAAGCTGCCTACCTGGGCATTAAAGTCACCCGCTACGACTACTATGTCTGAGCGCTTAGCTTTCTGAAGAAGCTCAGAGAGTTTTATGTAAAAGTCATCTCTTACTTCATCATGGCTGCAGTCAGTGGGAGCGTAGGCAGAAACGACGAAAAGGCAACGACGTGTGTCCCTATCCTTCCGAGTTCTTATGGGGCCATTTAGCCGGACAGCATACAGGCGACTGTTAACGGGGATCCATTCTAGTAGTGCCTGTTCTGCCCTTGTACTTAGTGCTATGCCTACACCTGCAAGTCCGCGAGAACTAGCCAACGGGTCTCCACATACACGGAGGGTGTATTTCGTCGGCTGTCCATTTTGGCGAGGTGAGGTCAAGTGAATGACCACACTGGGATCCTGTATGCGTGTTTCGGAGACACAGCATACATCAATGGTACGAGATTCTAGGGTTTTAGCTAAGGAGGCCTGTTGACCGAATTGGCATAGGGTACGTACGTTGAAGGCTCCAATGTGTAGTTTGGAGCGAGGTTTAAGTAGACCTGGGATAGCGTTTCGCGCACTAGAATCGTTGGCCATGGTGACACTTGAGGAGGAAACCGAGAGAGGAAGTTTAGTGTTGAAAGTCAAGGTAGAGGGAATAGTAGGAATTGAAGAAGAAGATTGATTATGAATACAGTGGTCTTGAGTGCTGTTAGAGGTATGAGGGCAGTTATCACTTCCCGGTTGCCCACACCGTGGAAGGATTCTTCTAGAGGTACCTGAAAAGGAAATTGGGTTAGGAGTGGTCTTAATGACCTGAGAGCGTGACCGCAGTGCCCAAGGGACAACTGCTTGAGGTCGGTCACACACGACCTTTTTGTGGGTAGTTTTTGTGTTAGCTCCGTTCTTCAAAAAAACCTTACCGCCGGAGACGGAAATCCGTGGGATAAGGCGAGGTGTGCATTTTTAGGGTCGACCTTTTCTAACCCCACCCCTCCTTGTGGGAAGGCAGCATCGCTGTCATGCTGGTTGTCTGAAGGAAACACCTTACTGCCGTCACACCTCTGTACAGTCGACAGTACGACTTCGCCTTCGGACCTTGGGTTTGCTGCTTTTAGTCTCACCGCTCTTCAACCGACCTGTCTGGCATGGTAGGACCTCGAGGAACGACTGTTCCAGCCAGCATAGCTCGATTGCTTCATCACGATAGGCAAGCCCGACCACCACGTCAAGGTAGCAGCAACGATCGGCTTTGTCTGGCATTCCAGGAAATATGATATGTATGAAACAATAGTGGAGTACCTGACTCTCATCTACTAAGTTTCAGGTTAAAACAATTCTCCATTTGGTTTCTCTTGTGTGTCACAATAACTTTGGTTCACATTCAAGCATCCTAAGTTGTCCTATTATTCTTATTATTTTTCCCCGTTGTATAAGTTCTATTTCGCTTTCTATACATATTACTATTTCAGGGAAATAAATTTACATTGATTTTTATCAGCTTGTTGTATTACTTTTATTATCACTGTCCTTATTCGCTTAATATTATTTTCTAGGAAATATTATTCACGGGATGCTATTTTCCGTTCGGAAGAAATATTTAATCTAATTGATTCTCTCGTAGGATTGGAGAATGTGCAATTTAAGTAAGAATACAAACTTGGCTTATCATACTGAACTAGTTTGGACTTTAAAACTGAACTCGTGAATTATTCTTATTGTGTTCCTCCTATTGATTTCTCACCATTTCTTTTGTTCAAGCAGAGGTATGTTTTGAATTTGGATGTCTTAAATATAATCCGAAGTTACGCTGCGATTAAAAATTTATGTCTTATTTTTTCAGTTTAGAAACACAACTTAGTGCAATTTGTGAATGTCAAAACGAGAATACTGAGGATAGAAAATCGAAATGTATGTGGCGCCATGGTTTTGAGAAATTAAAACAAAATCAGGTTTATTCTTTAGAACAACTGGTAAGGCCAGTTTTTTCCATTTTCACAAACATTATTTCACTTTAATGAATACTGGTATATCTATCCCAAAGTAAATAAAAAAGTGTAATCGGTTGATTTTATGCGAAATCAAAGCCAAGGTAAACGTCACACTTAACTTCTTAAAACCTTCGGGAATCGTGACAAGTTCCTTAGAAATACCATGTAACTAATCTTTTCTTTTTACAACCCCCACATATTTTTATTGCTTAAATTTGAGTTGTAGACCTCTATTTTTTATCATTCTTTGGCCGGTTTTCGTGAAATGGTATGATAACGAACAGCATATTTTTCAACTAGTAACACAGTTTTGTTAAGTCTCTGCAATAATTAAATTAACCACTACACTAAGTCAAATGTTATCAGTATGATCAGTAACTATTAAATTCCATCAATTGCAAGGATCGGCGAAGCAAGGACCACATTACAACAATTAAAGAACGTATGGGACTCAAAACAACTCTCAACTAATTTCAAAGTGAGAATCCTCAATACGAACGTCAAGACAGTCCTACTGTATGGAGCTGAAACGTGGAGAACTACTACAACCATCGTCAAGAAGGTACAGGTATTTATAAGCAGTTGTCTACGTAAAATACTCAACATTTACTGCCCGGATACCATCAGCAACAGAGTTTTATGGGAGAGGACAAACAAGCTTCCAGCTGAAGAGGAAACCAGGAAAAGACGTTGGAAGTGGATCAGACATACATTGAGGAAATCACCAAACTGCATCACGAGGCAAGCGCTGACTTGGAATCCGAAAGGGAAGTGGAAAAGAAAAAGGCCAAAAAACATTACGCCAGGAAATAGGAGTGGATATGAAAAGGATGAATGTTAACTGGAAAGGATTTCTCAAAACAGGGTTGGATGGTGAATGCTGGTGGGCGGCCTATGCTCTTCCACGAGAGGTAACAGGCGTAAGTAAGTAATTGCATTGTCTTAGTTTTCCACTTAGAAGTACTAAAGTCATAATTTTGGTGGACATTCGTTTTCTGAGCTGTGTGGTTTTCTAATCGTGAAGCTTTCATCGTTGACAGATTCACGATTAAACCAATCAGTTCAGGACGAAATTCTACAAAAATCATTCACCTGATCTACAAATCTTCTACAACAGCTCAAATCATAATCACTTCTGGTAATAATGTATAATAAGTATAAACAAGTGTAAAAAGTTTGTTAGGAAGTCGTTACTTTCGTCACAACTCCATTAGTGCCGCCTTTGTTTCTTGACTGAATGGAGATGAGTCATTGATATTTTTAAAGTGACAAATTATCGAGAGACTATTTCATCTTTTTCTTTATCTGATTCACTTTACAAACTTATGACAGCCTCACATTTCACTATTGAGAATAAAATAATTACCGAAATAAAGGACAAATCAAGTTAAGAATTAATCTCAATATTTCCTCTAAGGGGTATTTAATCGGTAAACAATTCGACAGATCCAAAATTACGATTAAAATAAAGTTACTCATTCTCTTCATAATAAGCTTTGTCTTCCAGGAATGTATCACATCCTGATTCATGACAGGTAGTGAGTTGTATCAACTCATTGTATACTTAATCATTTGTAGTGTCAGTAATAAAAATCGATCACCTAAAGATCAACTGCTACTTTGAAGTCTCTGGGTCTGATCTGGTGCTTTCGAGGGTGCGGAAGGTCAGCTCCTCTCGAAATGCTCTTGTATGACCAGGCGTATATAGCCACTGCTAGGGAAGTCCTACTAACTGCCTTCTCTCAGCGGAGGTTTTGTTTATGAAATTGAGAGGATGAAAAGCGAATGTTCGACGCTTTAACCGGGTTAGTGGGTACGGAGGATTCACATAGGATAGTTGGAGATCGCTAATTCCAAACCAGTGATCCACGTAGGCCTCAGGATCCTAATGGAACAAATGGCATACGAACCTATTGTTAGTCCTCGGCTGCCATGGGACAATTTTTTAACGTTGTTCCATTGCCTTATGGACTAGACGTCTAGGTCGAAGGCTCTGGTAGTGGTCTTCTAAGAAGACCACTTGTGTTCTGTTTGGGCACCTGAGAGGCTTCTGAGCTCACGCTTTAATTTATTAATAACTAATTTCTATGGTGCACATATATTTGAGTGCCCCTTTGTAACAACGTTTGTGTATTTACATAAGTAAAAAAAATGATCGAAACGAGAAAACTAGTTGACAAATAAGACTTATGTTCAAAATCTGTGTGTAAAGTCACTTTCTATTTTGAAGACCTAGGAAATATCAATTAATACGTTTAACAAAACCCAATGTTTTTAACAGGTGGTTTACTCAAACTGTGGGATATAATTCTGTTGTTTTACTAATTGTAGAAGCTTAAATGAAATGTATTTGTTAATCTTATTTTATGTTTGCCCGTACTTTTAAATGGTATTAGTTTGACAAACTCTGATAATAAAGTCCTTTTCTTAGCGAGAACTCTATATATTTGTTTTGAGTAAATATATAGAATTTTAATTATGTACTCTAAAAATGCACACTGGTAGTTTTATACTAAAACTTGCTGTAAACTAGTTTTATTGATTTGAGTTTACTGACTATCTCATGTACATTTTATTCTCTAATTCTTCCTATGTCATACAGGATCATTTGTAAATTCTTAGGGTGAATATATCTATATAACTATTGTTGATTTTAGTTCTTAACACCTGAACACTTTCTATAACTACTTAGATTCACCTCGTGGCAGTTTTAAACTCTCTATGTCTCTCGGGGAGAGAGTTTGTCTTTTTTTCCTGGTCACATCACTTTCTTAATTACTTAACGCTCTAGAAGAATATCTGTGATTAATCCTCTAAAATACATTTTCAAACTATATTTTCTGGGTAAAAACTCATAAACTTATCAATCGTACTCCACATTTCACAAATAACATCCGGATCTCTCACGTAACGTATTATTTCAATTATCTAAAAGATTCGTCTGATATTTGCAATCAACTCAGTCATTTGTTTCCAAATACGTGAAATATCTCAACCATAAAGTACCTATACACTAATGTTATCTATACTTAACAGTTAATTACTTACAGTTGAGTGATGGCATTTTTTTTTCCGAATAATTCTTTTTTTCATGTGTTTGAGATGTGTCATAATTTATGCAGTACACCTGGGGCCTTTGTTTATGATTACATGTGATCTAAATTGATGATAGCTTATTTTCTAGTTATAAACTCTAAACGCTAGATAATTGTCCTATTTCATGTATACGGTGTTTAAATTTATATAGTCCATTTTAATTCTCACATTAAACGTAAATATAGGTGTTGTAATAAATCATAACGTTCAATTCGTTTCCTTTGATCTAATAAACGAAATAATAACAGCACCTTGTGGAGCAGCAACTTAATGCGTAAAGCATTGCGCTTTAAACCAATAGGTTTCAATCATGCATCGCCTACTTCACTTTAAACAACTCTCATGCCTAAAGTGTGGTTCAGATCCAAGCGTGAGAATTCCTACTTAATGAATGAGTTGCATTATTGTCATATCTGACAATGTCAATTAAACTTTTTGATGCGTATCCAGCTTATGTAAGGGTGAGAACAGACACCTTTTGATACATTTCATATCAGTTGTATAATCACTTGTATAATTTAGACTTAATTCATTGCTTGTTACCAGTTTATATTTGTATCAGTCTACTTCTGGTTATTGGTATCTGATTTTTTTGGATTAAGTTATCAGGCTTTAGTGTCGGTGTTCTTGCTGTGACTTTTGTTTCAAAGCTTTATACAGCTTGTTATACTCCACAATGTTACCATATATTTCTAATTCGTGCCGTTCTCTAGTTGACTTGATGACTTCCTTTTCCGTCTTTTGTGTATGTGTGCAATTAGTAATTTAACATTTAGGTTAGCTAAAAGTTTGCGAAACTGACGGTTTTTGTAGATCATATCGCTTATTGACTTTACCTAGAGGTCAGTGAACAGAGATTTCATTGTGACATTGGACTCTTGAATAGTATCAACCCACTTCGTTGCCAGGAGTTAAACATAGGACTTCTCGTCGGTCACGTTATCTTTAAACCATTGGATTTTTGACCCAATAATACTTCACATTTCCGGGTTATAAAACTGGAAAGGTTTATTTTCGAAAAAATATTTGTTTTGTACGTATAATTTATTGCATAATTTAAAGTGAAAAATGTCTTATTTTCGTTAGGTCAGTGTGTGATGAAAATCCCTTTTGTCATCATAAACCGTTTGGTCAGTAGATGAGTATACGATCGTCTAAAGTTATACATACTTCATATTCACTGGATTATGGGGTTACCAATATTACTCTACTGGCCATATTTTTTTATAAATATGTCTAAGTTAGAAATTTTAACAAATCATTCAGATTTAAGTTATTTAACGTCTACACAACTACCTATTTTATGGCTTAAAGATACTGGGTTTGTAGTTATTCTAAAAAATTCGTCTTTTGTCAGCAAATTTTAATTTTGTCAATCAGCAACTCTTTAAACGGTTCAACAGATTGGCAAATAATGTGTCTGAGGTAAATAAATCTACTATTTTTTCATGGTAATGAGATAGATATCTCTGATGATGGCTTTTAGTAAGGATAAAAAGTTCAGTGCATTAAAAAATTTGATAGATTATTTGGAATCCAACTCCATGATTCAAAGGTGGTGAGTTAAATGTCGTATGGAGTCATAGGTACATATTGTCAAGGAGTCCCTCAAACTATGCTGACACACGTAACCAGTTCTCAATTGTTTTCAGTATTTCTCTAGCTCGTATCACTGTAAAGAGGAAGCAAACTCCAAGATAGTGTTACTTGTTAGATAACAAATCACTTATTCTGAGTAAAAATAAAAGTTCCAAAACTTCGCTTCTCTCCGTTGTATTAATCATGACCTTCTTTTTTCAGCAATATCATGAAGAACTGATTCAAAAACAGTTTACCCAATTAAATAAATATAAAGAACAATTAGACTGCTATAAAGAGACGACTGCTAGTCTGGAAAGTTACATTTTGGAATTACAAGTTAAGTTGTACGTTTGATGTTTCAGTTGATTTTTAGATATTTAGAAAAAATTGTTTTACTTATAAGAGTCCTTAGATCACTAACTGCTCAACTATCACAGTCTGATATTAGTCTCTTCAGTTAGTCAGTTGGTTAGCCATAATCATCAATCTAGCTATCATACAATAAATGTCATTGTAAAGTATAAATCATATATGAATGCTGAAAAGCTTACTAAGTTTCACTGTTCAGTAATTGATGACTTATTCTCATTTACTTCCAGATACTTCATGAGTAATAATTTTTAGTATTTACGGATGATGATGATAATAATAATAAAGTATGATCAAAACTAAATTTCAAACTGATGACTTCCATAAGATTTATTACGGCTACAGATAAACTTTCCAACCATACTATGGAATCACAGAGTCTGAGTATACCAACTATAGTCAAAACAAGTAAAACTCAGTATTTGATATTTAACTTATTTTTAAGATTTAAATTAATATTATTAGTACAGAATTTTAGAAGAAATATTGTCATCCAGAGAAAATGAGGGTAAAACACATGGAAACCTAACAGAAATGGGTCATGAAATCGAATGAATATTTATAAGAGATAGTTATCACTTTTAAAAAGATTACGAATCCCATTTTTTGTTAGTCAAATAGAGACAGATTACTATACTAAAGTCAGACAGAGTGCATGAATTTTCAATACTTGAAATGATTTTTTTTTACGTTTACCGAAGGTCCTGGGTTGGAATCCCGCGTACGAGATCGTGATTCTCACTGCTGAGGAGTCCCATACTAAGGCGAAACGGCTGCCGGTTGTTTATATGAATTGTTCAAGAAAATTTAGTTTTAGAACTTAATATGACCCAAGTATTTTATTCAATAAATACATGATTTTATAAATTTCAAGGTAGATAAAATATACATCAATCTTATCTCCCTAAAAGTGCTCTCGGTTTGTAAAAACTCGATTGTTTTGTCTTCATTCTTATTGTTTAAAGCAATCCCAGAATTTCTTAAGATTCCAGCTTTTCAAATGCCTTGTTACACATAGTTTTATCAAGCCTAAATGTTTCATTCCAGTAATGTTTACTAAAAGTTTATATAAACTTAGTTCACGCGAATAGTAAATCAGGAATCAGAAATCACAAGAGATAGTTCAAATTCAGTGTTTCTATCCACACAGTGTTTCTGGACTGTTATTGAAGTCATTACCGTACCCACTTGAACAAAGCTATTCTCTTTTTGTTTTCCGGATAATTACCTCTCAACATTCTCTGGGAGTTTCCGCCTTTCGCAGGAAATTAGATATTGAGTCGTTGTTCTACGTGTTCTTCAAACTCAATTGTTGATGGGATTCAGAAGCATCAGTTCAAGGCCACCTTTGTAGAATCACTAAGGCTTTTGATGCACCATTTGTTCTCAAAATATAATTTGATATAAATGGTGCAAGTGGAGAAAATAAGTATACTCAATTCGGGTTTGGAACTTATCAAATAGATCATTTATGTGACTACTTTCATTAATCCTTTCATGTTAGCCGGTGATAAAATATGGTATTATTATTATTACGATTGTTTTTTATAGAACACTTATTCATGAACAATATGACCAAGAGTTAAAGCGTTTGGGTGTTAACCAATCACGATTGACCGCTCCAACATTTCGTAATATTCCAAATCGATTTCAACAAATACATGATATCAATGAAAAACCTTCAAAAATCTCATCATTTCTAAATCCATCAATAAAGCTCATTCATAATGCTGCTTGCGCTAGTGCCAGTACCAGCTATCAAATGCCATCAATCTTATCAGTAGACCAAGGTGTTGATGCATTAAGCTTGGAGGATTCTTCAAATCCTGACTTAGATAGCAATAATAATCACTCAACATCAACATCAATTGTTGAGCATATTCCCAGTGAATCGAAACGATATCGTTCAGTTAAATTTACCGAATCTAATTCAAATATAAAAAAAATCGACCAGGATTCATGTGTTTTGCCTGTGGATTTATCAAATAGAAAGTCTAATACAAAACGTCTACCTTTACCCATAAGAGCACGTTCTAATTCTCCAACTACTACTACTACTAATAGTAGTAGTTATCCTAGTTCAATAAGTGAATCATCTCAGCAAAAATATATTAAATCAAAGAGTCCATTAAAATCAAATAGTTCCGGTCAAACATTTCATCAGAAATCAAAAGTAAGTCAAACTACTTATACATTTTTGTGCGTCTCATTTTTATGCTAAATTTAAATTGTCGCTAACATTTTTTACAATCCTGACGATAACTTCTACCTTGACGTGGTGGTCGGAATAGCATGTCGCGATGACCCACTTGAGTTATATCGGCTGGAATATTTGTTCTCCTATCCCAGGCCGGTCCGCCAACAAGCACCATGATTAAAAGCAGCGAACTCATGATCCAAGTGCAAAGTCGTCCTACTGACTGTGCTGAGGTGTGACGGTAGTAAAATGTTTTCTCCTAAAAACCAGCACCTGCAGCGATTCTGGCTTCCCACACCAGAAAAAAAGGGTTAGAAAAGATTGACACCGCAACCTACTCTAGAGAGTTCTGTCCCCTGCGGTAAGCCCTAAAAAGTACGGAACGGACATCAAGAACCATTTGAAAAAAACTTCGTTTGGCTGGCTGTGAGCTTTTATCACCTTGGCTCTACTACCACATTCTCGAGCCGTCAAGACCACTTCTAACCCAGTTGACTTTTCAATTACCTTAAGAAAAGGTATCCTTCCATGTTATGAACAACTGGGAATTGAAAACTGTCCTCATACCTATAACAGCACGCTAAATCACCTCGGTTTTCTTCAGCTTTTTTGAACATGTATGTTATTTGTAAGAACACGTATCATTCACTGTGTAACGAGGTTACTGTAGTACTTGGAAACATGAGGGCTTTAGCCTAATTGTGATATGCTGTGTCTGAGAGTCGATACTAATACACTCTTTTTATACACTAACCTGGTTGCTTAAGAGAAAAGACGGAGAAAGAAATTTTGTTGATTTAACCCGGATCGATTGCTTATATATATATATATCTGCTTTTTTTAGGAAATTAAGCCTATCAGCGGTTTATATCTCTTCCCTTGCGAAGGAAAGCCAAATCACAACAATTACTTTTTTCAGTTTACAAACAAAGGGGTGGTAATTCAATCATAATTGCTTTACAACTGAAGTCAGTTCGCGAGAGAAACCCTGACCCTAATTTTTAAATCGAACTCATAACTGTAGTTTAACTCCCGATACCTAACCCTAGCGTTTCGGTATTATAGTTGATGTCAGTCGGTGGCAAAAATCCTATGAGATTATATATAACCTGGACTCACAACACTAACCCAACTCGTATGTAAATTTAACCATTTTCCTTCACTATAAAATAATAATTCAACATATGAGTGTTAATCATTCGTATCAAAGCTGTTATTCCACTGATATTTTACTACACTGGACAGCAGTCCAGTGCTTCCAGGTTTTCCATGGTGGTCTAGCTTTAATTGACTCATGCTCTCAACTAGGAAAATACTAAATCTTCACAAAACCCCTTCTGATAATTATTTTTATTTGTTTTTTTATAACTAAACACTACTTTCTAATCGGCTGATAAGTCGTTCAAGGTCATCAGTATGATATGCCTTTACCATATTTGCTAGTGTCGTCGTATTATCTGGTTTTATTGACCCATTTGAACTCCTCATTCAATATGATTCAATTAATTAATTGCTAATAATTAGTAGTGCTTTACCTGAATCATTATCTAGTTGTTTGTATATATCAAATATCTTTTTTTGGTGAGGAGGGAGGAGTAAAGTACTTCTGAGTATAGTAGTGGGGGTTACTTAAAGAACTGATTTTTTTTATTTATGCAGAATTATGTGAACGTATTGACAAGTGTATAATCATGTCAGATTTCAGAATCCATATACAATATGTTGCTCAATATGTCTGAAGAGTAAAAACGTGGCTTAACTGTTGCAAATACAATAATTACACATAAGTAGTTGTATAAAGTTCATTGTTTATACAAGGTTTGCATTAACCTTATTGTCAATTGTATCAATTAACTTAGTTAATTCTTTTTTTTTTTCGAATCATGTACTCTATATTTAGCCCTTTTTTAGTATCTTTAATCATACTATTTATTCGAATCGTTTGCGATTCATCTTATTATACTAATAATGTCCTGTGAGAATGTAAGCTGACGAATCTTTTTCCGCAGGTAGTCCTATATTGTTTATGCCTAACAGATAGATTGCTTAATTATTAATGTTAAGACGATTAAAAGAAACTGACTGAAAACGATGAATGATGCAAACATACGTCAGTTATATTATTCCTTTGTTTAATATCCATTAAACTCTATAGTTCACTTGATACTTTTCAAATCAGAACAGGAGCTAAAAGTAGACAATATATATTTCAATAATATGAACAGCAAAGATACTGTTGTGTTAACAGAATTAATACAGAATCTAGCATTTTTTTATTCGTTCATTAATATGTAGTTGATTAAAATAGTGAACTAATCAGCGTATTCCTATATGGGCCTTCTTACTGGATCATACAATAATTGGGACTCTATCTTGTTAATATTATCATAAACCAAAATTATATGACATTAGGTTATTTGCACTTAGTAATTGACCAGTACATTTTGCTATAGTAATGAATCTATCATTCTTTAATAACATACTCAAGTGAATTGATGATTCATGAACACACTTTGACATTATGAATTCCAAACAAATTGACTGTAAAGTACAAAGCAATTAACTATAATAATAATAAATATTTTTGTTATTAAGATAACAAACTGATGGTGGAGAGGATTTGTAGTTCAGGTGGGTGATTTTGATGAATTTTTGTTCACTGAGCTGGAGGGTTTGGTCGTGGAGCTTTCATCGTCCTTCTGATGTCGTTCAGAAGGACGATGAAAGCTCCACGACCAAACCCTCCAGCTCAGCGAACAAAAATCCATCAATAACAAACTGTCATAAATCTATACATAAAAATGACCCAATGTTGAATAGTAGATTTATTTCTAAAATTGATAGAAATAACTAATTAGAATTGACTACTGTTTAGGGGACGGTTCAAGCATATGAATTATACAATAATGAACCAATTAATTTTGTTTGATTGTAGTTTGTATATATTTTTTAATTATATAACATTGTAATAAATTTGACTGTTGATCATTTTGAAATCAATTTATATGAAAATTTGAGTACAATCAATTATTGCTGAGTTTGAAGAGATTATCACACTAGACCGGCGAACGGGACGAAAGTCAGCAACGCAACAACAGGACAAGCTGAACTATTCCACTGCGCTCCGGCCCTGATAACTAGATGGAGAAGACCAGAGTCATCCGAGGGAAAAGTATATTCCACAAGCAGTCGAAAGAACGAGCGAACAAGCACACAACGCATGCGTACATATACAGTACAAAAATGTCATTGAAAAACGTCACAAAATAGCATACTTAAACAGGAAATGCATCAATAACATTTAAGGTCCTCCCAAGTGAAAAATACAAATTCAAGGTAAAAGTAGGCGCTTTTGGCACAAAAACGAGAAATTCTAATTTCCGTAAACAAAATTACAAAAATAAGGCGTTTACCAAGTGATTTCTGGATATCTAGCATCCCCAACAGTTACGGTTGGAAGTGTATCATTTTAACACTAAATAGAGCGCTGCTCTACGTCTGTGCTTGTCTTTTGTTTCATATTTATCACAAATTTTCCTTACGCTTATGGTCCATAGCTGTGAGTCCGATAACGTGATTAATATATTTACTCTGAATGATCCATTTGCCCCGAAAAGACTCTCACTCGTTTCTTCAACTAATAATCAGGATATTCAGGACTGTGCACTATTTTGTACTATTTTAACTTGAAAACTCACGTGATTTTATTCACGAGAAACACGAGACTATGACTCCATCATAAGTGATAAGCCTCAGTGTATGTACATAAGGAGCGATATTTATGATACAAACCTGAATAATTTGTCTATGATCAATTATTGATAATTTATAAACGGTAAAATATGTTGCATATGTAAACAAGTCAACTGACTGCTTATAATTAGAATAATATGGAAATCTCACAGACTAAATGTTTCATGAAAATACTTATTCAAAACATAAATATCAATCTCTCACAGTACGGCTCCAATCCGTTTGCTAAATAAGACCTCATTGATGATTAATTTCATATGTGTTCTGTTTTTTCCAGATGCTTGTTAGCGTTCAGGAAATACCGTCTGAACGTTTCATCCTGCCGGATAATTCATATTCTACTGTATCTTTTCCCAATAATAGTTCACCAAAAACTCTCGACAGTATGACAGTTGTTGTAAAGCCAAGAAGTCATAGCTTATTCTCTTGTTAGTAAGTCATATCATTCCAGTAATCTTTTGTCTCTTAATATATTCTTTTGTAAAGGGATATGTTTTGTATTTAAAAGCTTAAATACTAACTTTTTAACCTCTTTCTAGTCTTCATAAGTCTCTCGCTCGTAAGCATGGAACAAAAAAACTAAAGGAAAGGTATATCGAAGAGCAATTACTTGCAAGACTAGTTCATGTTAAGGAACAAGGTTAATCATATTATTATACACGAAGTTGAGCTTTTAAAAGCTTCTGTAACACATTCTAAGATTGATGTACAAATTCATATTTATGTCGAATCGAACACTGACATCACAATCTATCTTTTTCTAGAGTTCTCCTGAGAGTTTCTGAAGGACACTGTTTGATTGAATTTTTTTTTACATTTGTGTGTTATAACATAGGATTTTTTGTCAGTTATACTTGCTCTACTATTTTGTTTATTTATTTAAACACATAAACATTGGTAAAAGGAAGCATCAAATATTTATGCACCACACTTCTACATTCGATTTGCGAGGGCTGGAATACTGCCCGTGCGCCCAAACCGAACACAGATTATTTTCTTAGAGGGATACTTTCTGAGCCTTTGACCTAGAAGTCTAATCCACAAGGCAGTGGTGCGACGTTAAGAAATGCATTCCCATGGTATCCGGTGACCAACAATAGATCCATACGTCTTTTGTCCCCTCAGGATCCTGGAGCCCATGTACACCATTGGAACCAGGGTTTTCCAACTATCTTACGTGAATCCTTCACATACAGCAACTCAGTTAAGTTTCCGGACATCCGCTTTTCGTCTTCTCAATTTTTTAGAAAACATCCCCACCATGAGAAGGTAGTGAGTAGAACTTTCCTGACAGTGGATGTATACACTAGAGCATTTCGAGAAGCAAAGCCGACTCTCCATACCCTCTACCGTATTGGAGTATCTCGGTTTAAATAAATAAATTTAAGTGTAAATATTTATCTTGACTTGCTCTACAATTTTATTGTTGAATCTTTAGTTGTTTCAATATTATATAAAAGTTTTTATTAAATATTCAGATATCAATTATTAAGAAGTTTTCCTTATCATCAGTCTATGAAGTTAATATTATACCTCAGAATATAACTCATTATTCTCTGAGATTTAGATGTGTTAGTGATCATAAAGTAACCACTAGAATAAATTTGGTTATCGATTAAAGTTATGATGTTTTCATGTGAACGCTATGAATTAAACGTTACACTCGTGTTTATTTATTTATTTTCATTAATTCTATTCATTATTGTGACTTCCTCCATGTGTACCACTGTAAATTGTGACGATTTAAACCGGTATACTTTTATGTGAAGCCTTTAAATCTTTATGTTCATTTATCGTATAACATTTTAGTAGTCAAGTACACAACTGAAAATTATGAAGCGCTTGTTATAAAGCAGCTGGTCATAAATTTTCAACAAGATTATTTACCACTACGACGCTTCTTGATTCCGTGTAAGCCACTTCTTCAGAGAATAAATAACCAAATCAAAATTAATCCAAGTTTAAATAGTGCAACGGAACAACACGAATATTATGTGACCAATCAAAAAACAGGTCTTAATTGGCTTACACTGAGTCACGAAACATCAGAAAATCTAATTTTTCTACTAATTCGGATGTTACAAGTATATAATTTATTTATAACAATCTACCCAGTGCTCAATTTATTCGAAATTATCAAGACAAACCTTAGTAATGTTGCCTATTCCTCACTGTCATTTAAATCGATGATCAAGTCTATTTTATCGATTGCCATTACTGAGTTGCTGAGTGGTTATCTAATCTCACAAGATATTGTGCTTTATTCTATGGTGTAACATGTAATTCCAATTTTCATGAGGCAATTCATGGAGTTCTAGTGAGAAGTCGTGACCAGTGGAGCTAATCCATTTCAGGTAGAGGAAGGTATCTACCTCAGTACAATGGAAGATCGTCGCGCAATTTTGTGGATTGATTTAGATTAGACATTAACACCGTTGGATGCCGGCTCAGTGGTCTATCAGCTAAGTGCTCTGGGGCAAGACTGGTAGATCCTGGGTTCGAATCTCGCGAGGCGGGATCGTGGATACGCACTGCTGAGGACTCCCACAATAGGACGACACGGCCGTCCAGTGCTTCCAGGTTTTATATGGTGATCTAGCTTCAATTAACTCATGAATTCAACTACAAAATTATTATTTTTTATGAAAGGGAGTATTTGCAGATTGTTGAATTTCAGTGTTGTACATTACAGAATGATCTTAATTAGGCAATTGTTCCATTAAGGTATCATATATCTGAAATTTGAATGGATTTCATAATTTCTGAGAAGTTCACATTGTTCATGTTGAATGTTTTAATACATAACTTCCTTGTTTAACAGCGTCCTGATCAAAATTCTGGGCATTTATTTTTATAAATATGGATTTATTGTCATTGATTTCATCTTAGATTTGTTTTAATTAATTAAGCATTTATAAACTATTTCGAATCTGATTATTGAGCAACTCAAGTAGTACCATCACGGTGCATCATATATTTTCCTCATTCTCTATCTTTTGGAAAAACAAGAGGAGATTACCAAATATATTAGATGATGAAAAGAGTTAGACTGATCATAAACATTTCCGACTGAATATACGTGAATCACTGATCAAAAGCTTTATATAAATGTTCATTTTTGAATATTCACAGGCTAAATATTTGTAAAATAAGAATTTTGTTGTAATTTCTCAAATCTTGTGCTCTAGAGTTTTTACTATCATCAAAAATGGTGTCTAATAAAACAAGTATTATTATTACTATTACTATATCGTGTGTGTGTGCTCTGTTAATATATGACGTGATGATTCCCACCAATCAAAGAGCAGTGAACTATCGATCAGAGCAGTGATACACGGAAACCGTACGAGCAGTCTTGAGTACTTATCAGTCGTGCTATTTGCCAAGCCCAGCCAGTTAAGTCCAGAACACCAATAACAGCCTCTGCAATATGAAACATTATTCTCAAACATACTGGGTTTATATACCAAACAAACTGACCACATCGTACCATAAAATAGAAAATAATATTTGTGCAATATTTAGCCAAATGTGGCTGTAAATGTGAGAGGCAGTAATTAATAGACTGGGGATAACTCAGGAATGGTAAATCGTACAGTAATAGTTCAAGGGTCAAAATAAAGCTCATAATGAAAGGAACATGAATATGAATAGTTAAGTTACTTAGCAATTATACAATAAAAAATATACCTATCACATTGGTCCATAAATAGTCCTCAAAGTTACCATTCATAATTCTTCGCAGGATATAACAATTATTAGTATTGTAGGTATCATTACCAAGTTTTGATTTGATAATTTTGAATAAATTGAGCATTGGGTAGATTGTTATAAATAAATTATATATTTGTAATATCCCAGTGAGTAGAAAAATTAGATTTTCTGACGTTTAGTGACTCAACCAAATTAACATTTTTGGTTATTTATTCTCTGAAGAAGTGGCTTACACTGAGTCACGAAACGTCAGAAAATCTAATTTTTCTACTCATTGGGATATAACAAATATATTAATTTATTTAAAATTATCAGTATTATTATTATTAAATTAGTAATGTCAATAATTTTGAGACATTTTTAAGTCTTTTCCAGTTTACCTAAAATCTCGCTTCGTACTATGTTTTGTTGTTGTTATTACTGCGTTTAGTGTCCCGAAGATATCTACGAATGAGGTAGAAGGCATTATTCGACATGTCGATAGTCTTATGAATCCACAAACAACCTTGAAAAATGATACAGTTAATACAATCACACCACCAACAACAACGGATACAACGATAAACGCATCGACCACTGTTAATGATAAAGATGATATTGTTATTGATGATCATCTACTCGAGTGTAAAAATCAATGTTCAAATCTTGTTCTATTTGAGGCAGGTATGTTTTATTTTGTTAACACTTTTTATTTTGAAAAGGGTTTCGATTGTTGTGTGCTTAAAATTCATATATTGCAGTTTTTAAATTTATTCATAGAAAAGGATGACAATTCAGCAATACTCTTCAAGAAAGTCGTAGACTAAGGTAGGAAAATTTTTTCCAAGGACAAATAAGTTACATTTCTGTTCCTATCAAATTGTTCTATACATAAGATTGAATTTCATCCCTATATCAATTAATTACTTGGCCATTAACAGCTCACGACCTAACACAAATATGTATAGACAGAATTTGCTACAGATTACACTAGCAAAGCATGAGGATACTGATAAGTTTTAAAGAAACTGAATTGAAATAATAATGTAACTCATGTACGAAATACTGTTTTTCGTACTTGACCCCGAGCGACACATTTATGTTTGTGTGGTACTGATTTGAACTAAGAAGTTTGGATTTTCGAACACGGTCTAACCCAGCAATCATTGAGTTCAAGAAGTAACACCATACATTGGTTTGATCTTATGCTGGTCAGCTTTGTGTATCATCTGGGTAGGAGGTATCTGTATGGAAATGCCCATAGTATGAGACTTCAACTCAAAATAAACGAGCACCTATTTTATTGTGTTATTTTATTTCCGGTTGTTCCTTTTACTAAAATTTTGTGAATGCTTGTTGAATAAGGCGATTATGGCATGTATTCGTATGTCTGACCACTGCTTATCACAACGCGCAACGTTTACGTATAGGGGTTTGTTGGAAAAAGGCTACATATGCCCAATATAACATGTGGCATCGGTCCATGAAGTCATTGACAATTGGATTAACCCATGTTGATAAAGGTAGAATTTCTGGTCATTGTTCCCCTCCTTGCCGTAACAAATGTTTGTAAAGTTGAATGACGTAACTCAGACGCAATCACTATTTGCCCTTAAACTCTGAATTTTAGAATTATCTTATGTTTTCATTCCTCGAAGTCATTCCTTGTGGTCGAGTCAGGTCGTCTAAAACTAGTCTCATTTACTATACTACAGCTGTTTCTATTACTCTGGTATTCATCTCGATAATTTCATTTCACTGTTGAAACTTGGATCGATGCATTTGTATCCCTGGCTCTAAGTTGATTATAAGCGGCTTTTCAAATCAATCGTATTTTCATAAGTTTCATCCTAAATATATGACTGACTGATCTAAAAGTCGCTATTTAAATCCCTATTACTTTTATAAATATTGTAGTCTTTCGTGACAAGTGTAATGTTCTATGACCTATTAAAATTTCTCTTGCTAACTTATGATTGTTAGCATGGGTAACGAAGACTGTTGGACTTCACTGAAATCACGAACTGATCAAAGTTAGACAACGATTGAAAACGTGAAAGCACTAGATGGTATAGTACTCATCGGTGTGCATCATGTTATCACTAGTGACTATCTTCAAAACGAAATTTCTGAAGTCCTTATGAGAAGCCGTGACCATTAGGATTCAGCCGTGTTGGGTGTGAGGAAGGCACATATCGAAGTGAATGGAAGATGGTCGCGCAGTATCGGGAATTGATGGAAGCTAGACTTGTACACCAATAGACCCCGCCTCAATGGTCTAGAGGTTAAGTATTCGCAAGCGAAATCGAAGGTCTTGAAATCTCTTCCCGGTTTTAGGGTCGTGTACGGGTACTTTTGAAGAGTCCCATACTAGTATGAAACGGCTGTCCAGTGATTCCAGGTTTTAAATGGTGGTTGGGCTTAAATTACTTCGTAACTTCAAAGTAACTTGTGAATATTGTCTTACTAAAAACAAGATTTAAAGATTAACTCTATCTAGCAACTCACCTCATGATCACGTAATTGTAAATCCAGTGAAATAAAGTATGTTGGTTAGTAATTTCAGTCAACCTATACCTCACTCCACACAAACACAAATCATAAATATATTCAAAAACTATATTGAACTGTGATACTACTGCTATATAGGAAAAACAACCAGATTGCTTGTGTTGTATTGACTAATGTGTGATTGAATCATAATGATAGGAATAAAGTTATATGTCTCTCTCAAGTATGATTAACGATTAGTTCACCTATATTGGCAGTAGGACTAGTGATCTCAAAACCAATCTACACAACGATCAATGAATAATAACCAAGACCTTAAAAATTATCGGTCCTTAGGCTTCTAATCCAGTGTTCAGTCATAAGACGAAGACACAAAGCAGATCAGTTCTCTGGTGTAGTCGGATCATTCGTGACTCAAAAATCACACAGTTATGTACTTAAAGCGTCTGAACACAGCAATGCAATCAAGGAATTACAATGTGTAAGTAACCTGGTTGTAAGTGATACAAAACTAGTAATAAATCTGCAATAATAAGACAACAACGATATGTGAATTAAACGAAAGTTTAAAAACAGGATAACGTAATAATACAACAATCCAAGTGTCTATTAACTATACAATAAAAGTATAAACAATAATAATAATTTCTATCAGTTGTACTCCCGTACTATTCGCCTCGTTATATCAACTATATATGGTGTTTTCCAGTTCTATTTAGTTTGTCATATTGATATTCATACATAAACGAAATATTTCGTTGTAACTGGTACTATTTATCATTATATCTGATTTCCATTTATTCTAAGTTTATATAATAATTGAAAACAACTAAGCTCTCTATATATCTATACCATTTCTAAGTCAGTGCTATGTGTACCGCCAACACTTCACAGTCAACTTTCAATTCCATAACTTTTTTATGTCACTGTACTGTGAACATATTTGTCTGTGAAGAAAAAAGTCTTGTACTTTATGTCAATATTGTAAATTTTAATTATGTAATCAGTAGTATTGTAAACGTTTACTATTTCCGAATATTAGCAATATTTTCATTTTTACTAATGAAGTCATATGATCATAAATATTGCACTTGTGGGTTTGCCTAAAATATTTTGCTGCTACTTATAATTTGCACATCAATTTCACATGATATTTTGATGCATTCCTTTATCAAATGTGTATTTATGATTAGAATATTGATATTAAACGGATATTAATTAAAGTTTGTAGATTAGTATGCAACGTGGTTAATATTTAAGTCCTTTTTAACATTTTTAACGTATAGTGAAGAGTCGTACAGCGTAGTCCTAAATCTCATTCAAAAAACAGTCAAAAGGATATATTACGTTACCTAATTAACTTTCCTGCTTCAGTTTGGGCACCTGGGCAGTATCACAGTCCTCACACAAATCAAATGAGATTTGCGTGGCGCATATGTATCTGGTACCTTTTTGTACCTATTTTTATGTGTTTAAATAATAATAATAAACTTTCGTTGTAAGGAATAAACCCATGTTTCAATATAGGCCTCAATGCCGCATGGACGAGTACTTCACAACCTACTGTATCTACCAATTCACATGTGTATAGATACACATACACAGAGTGGAGTAATAGAATAATACAGTCAGGGCTGGTGGAATCTGTATTTAGATGGCATCAACATCAGTTAGCTTCGTCACATGGACAGGTGAATGCAGGGTAGAAAGTCATTAAAACAATAGAAATTATCATTTGTCATATATACTTAAGTTCTGTTTAAGTTCCTGAACTTTAGAAAATTTAACTGTCCTTTATCTGCTGAGAAACAATTAGATTTAATCTTAAACCAACTAATCTGATAAGTGTTAATTTATTCTCATGCCTGAAGTAATGTGACAACTTATTCTTTCTATATTAATATCATTTCTCTCATATTCAACCTTATCACTTTTTATTTATAATTGACCTTCATTAGTATTTGTTAGTGAGAATGCTTAACTGGTGTTTGTTTGATGGAATTGTTTATGGAATGTGTCTTGTGCAAATACATTATATATTTTAAATCAACAGTCTTCTCATATAACACTTTCATAATGTATAAAATTTTGCTGGTGAACTATCAAAAATCATAAAACATTGGTTATCTTTTCCATTCTTTCGTTTATTTTTATTTGTACACATAAACATTGGTGCAAGGGGGCACCAAATACACATGCGCCACACAGTAACAATAGGATATGTAGTAGTTATCATTGGTTTGTGCGAGGGCTGTGATACTGCCCGGGTGCCCAAACCGAGGCAGGTTGTTTTCTTAGAAAGCCACTCCCCGAGCCTTTGACCTAAAGGTCTAATCCACAAGGCAGTGGAACAACGTAAGGAGATACAGTCCCATGGTAACCTGTGACCAACAATAGGTTCATAAGCCTTTTGTTCCCTCGGGATCCTAGAGCCCATGTGCACCATTAGTTTGGAATCAGGGTTTCCCCATTCCCCCAAGTGGAGTGACATGAAATGTGAAAATCTCTGTTTTGGTGATCTGTAGAATATTTGGTGGGTCTATAACATGAGCGAAGTAGATTTAAATTCTTGTGGCCACATCATATTCTTTATATTTTTCAAAATACTTCGTTGATGACAATTTACAATTATGAGATCTAAATCAGATCAACACGGAGTTATCGAGCCATTTATATAACTACTGATATGATCCATTGAATTACATAGAGATTGACGACAAAACAATATACAACATTAAATTTCGTTTTCGAATATCAACTATTGAAAGTAATGAAGTATCGTATAATTGTTTTGTTTCTTTCTGATTTGATAATATTCAACATTGCATAAAGACTCATCTCGCCAAGAATCAAACTTATGATTTCTCAGTGAATAATGATTGTAGAGATGTATTAATTTCATTTTTCCCTTGTAACTCTTGATTTCCACCATTATTTTGCACAGCTCATTCCACGATCATTATGGCCGTCCTCTTTTCCAGCATAAAAAGGTGCATAGAAGCCTATGGTTATAGTCTAGATTAACCAAATATCTCTTGTTCAGAGTTTCCACTGTTTTATAGAGATATCGATTTTATTTTTTCTTATCCAAACACGTATTTTGTGACAAACTAGAGTCACATTTTCTTTACAGAATTATCATCAATGGTTGAATAATTAAACCAAACGAATCTTCAACGATTTAGCTGCAAATTTACATCATACTCCCATCATTACTATTTAGGGACTCGTATGGTATCGCTTCTCTTCAGGAATAAATTGTGACTCAATGGAATGATGGTTCAGTGATTTAAACACAAACCTCAACTGTTAGGTCGTAGTTTCGAACTTATCTCCAACCCGTCTTGGCGTGGAGTGCTTAATGGAATGTTATCAATTTGGAATAAAGCTACGAAGGCGAACATACCAAAAAGTGGCAATCAACCCTTGAAGCCATTCACTGTTGGGCTAAACTGTATTAGTCTTTTTGGTTGGGTCCCGCGCGGTAAAGTCAGTTGGTCTGTTAGGGACGTATGATATAGCTTAGTATCAGTCACTATAAGACAATTGGATTCACTCATTAATATTCCCTTAGATCCTGGGTTTTATTATCCATTCATTTATACTTTTTAATTTCATCCTCTAGAATCATGTTTTCTAGCGTTAAGTCTTTGTCAGTATCAGTGCTACTATCAATATTTCTACTCTTTTGCTTTTCGTCTCCTCATATAAATCTGATGTGGCAAGTGGAGTTAACACGTATATATGAGTGACTGTATACTGATTACTACTGATCAACAGTTAAAGTTCAAACACCACTTCATCTAACTTTCACACTGAACGTATGTAACCTAGCTTCATATTAGACAGAACTATTTTTTAATATGACTTTCTAAAGCCTATAATTCTGGAAATTATAATCGGTATAAGAAAAGATGGGTAGTGGCTAGCAGTGGAATCTAGGACGCTCACTTCGTCTTATTTGGGACTCGTCAGCTGGATGTATTTGCATCCCAGAGTTGGTGTTCACTCCGGAACTCTTACCCAGTAGCGTTCGCTTCAAACGTCATCACTTTATCCACTTAGCTACTAAGTCCTGATAGCCAATTGCTTGTGGAATGGGATGAAATTTAATTCGTTTGGTGTTGTTCGATCGAATCTTCCTATTGATGTTTAGGACTGCGACTGACCAGTCTCTCAGAGTGAACATCAACCCTAGGATGCAGGCACATCCAACTGACTAGTCCCAAGTAGCACGAAACGCGTATCCTGGATTGCACTGCTAGCCACTATCCATATTTACTTATAATGCTTGTGAATTAAGGTAACATCTAGGCAATCCTCACAGGATGCACATATGCCTATTGCAGTCCTAAACCTCAATAGGAAGATTCAAACAAAGAATACCGAACGAGTTTAATTATGTGTTTTTTTTCAAAAAAGAAACAATAATTTAATTTTTACATTTATTTTTCATCTCTTTAACACAAAGGCTTAATTGATTCAATAACTAGTAGTGAAATTATGGAAACTTCATCTGAATATAATCCAAGTGATCGATTACATTCTTCATCTACCCGAGAATATTATCATTTAACATCAGAAGAAGATTTAGGAAATAGTGATGAAGAAGATGTGGATGTTGATGATGATGAGAAAAATAATGATAGTGACAATAAAACATCTGCAATACGACAACAACAAGAAGAACATGAAAAAACCATTTGAAGAAAAACGTGTCAGTCCATCATGAGTAGAGACAAGGTTCAAGCCTATTACTACTACCCTAACTACTATTAATAATAGTAGTAGTAGGAGTAGTTTTTATTGTTCTGTGATTGATACAGAAAACAGAAAGTAATAATAATATTTAATGACCATTTCACTTCTATTTTTATACTCAACTTTCTATATTATCCTGGTGATAAACAACATAATAACAAATACTACTAAGATCTAGTTTTATTCTTCTTACCTTCATCTTACTACCAATGATTCATTGTGTTTAACCTTTAAATTAGCATTCATAAATCATGTTTACAAATTGCTTTCTATGTACAAAATTAATTTATGTGAAAATTCTGATCACTTGTTTTATTGAAACTGTTTCAGATTCTTCTTTTTTTTTTACTTCCTTCATAGAATCCTTCATTTTTATTTATCCATGAGAGAAAACAGTACAGATTGTATGTATGATTGTTATTTTTTTAATCCACTAAATAACAACAAAGATACAACTGAGTTTAGTGTTTGTTTCCTTTCAAGATGTAATAAGTTGTTTGTTTGTGTGTGTGTGTTTACAAGAAAAAGAAAAAAAGCAAGATCAAATCATCCAGTGTCATTTTTAGATACCATTATCATTATTAGTACTGCTTATCCTTATTTTATTGGATTGTTCTATTATTCAATAACAAATTTGTTTGAATGCATTAGAAAGTTTTCAGTACAAAGATTAAAGTATTAAAATGTCTTTCTGTGCTACACTTTAATTAGCAAAACATCTTGATAACAAAAAAATGTATTCAAAGAATATTTTCAATACAGTAACAATTAACAACTGTTTATTTTTATTAACATAAGAGTGTTAGATTGTAGTGCCGTGCTTCGTTAATCATTCACCTCCATAACCGTTATAATACAAATCTTAACGGTGCATAAAAATCAGAAGGCAAAGAGAAGCGGCAGCTACAGTTTTATTGTCAAATGACTCAGGTCAGAAAGTTATAAGCACATGAGTAAACATCAGCGAGCGAAACGAAAATGACATGCATTGGGGATGGTGGGTAAGCCAACTCGCTTTAACCCCGAGTTAATCAATATTTAAGTCAGACAAGAATAAATGACAGACAGGTGGTAAATAGGATAAGAAGCGTACACACACCTACGCTCATATAAAAATGAACAGTGTTACTAGTGTATAATTGACAAGGTGCAAACATGACTCATGATGGACATGTGAATTGACCCGTCCAGAAGTAAGAATAAGGTATGTGGGCTTAACGTATCAAACGATACTACAAGATCACGAACATTAACTGGAAAACAATCGGAGGTTAGGTTGACACTGTTTAGTAGTTGATATATATGACCATTCAGTACGGTTATAAAATAAGATTGAAATTACTTTCTAATAAGTAACATTTACTAAATGAATAGAAAAATGACCAAAAGTGTTGGATACGACTTATCTAATGAACATTAAAAGTAATGTGGATTAGTTCAACACATCATATATATATATATATATATATATTAATATTTAAAAATAGTCATCTACCTTTCGTAAAGTTACAGGTTGTTGAATTCACTTCGTATTGTTTGTTTGAATCTTCCCATTGATGTTTAGGATTTCAATTGATCAGTCATATGTGAATGCTGTGCGTATTGGTCGATGTTGCCTTAATTCACAAGTATTATAAGCAAAGATGGACTAAGTAGCTGAATGGATGACTGATATAAAATGTAGGATACTTGTTATAACTCTAGGGTTTCTTGTTATAACAGTCCTTTCACTTTTTACACGTATGCGGGACGTTAATTTACCTTAGACGAATATCTACACTAGATTCCCACCCAGTGTCTATTCTGCAGGACTTCAACACAACTCAGATCAAGAACACGAGATTAACCTGACTATAACGTCAATATAATTTCCACACCAAAATCCGACACAATCCAACAACAAGGAACAGTCAATCCATAAAAGTCAATAAACAGTAAGAATAGGGGAATATAGAACACATACAACACTTGTCACACTATCCACATGTCTGACTCAGCAAAACAACCAATTGTCCTCATTCTCGCCAACACATCAATAATGTTATCTATACTTAATCTTTTCTGCTACCACTAATATTGGCGAGTGAGTTGTGCTACAGAGTATCTTCGACCGCCAAGTAGCTGATTTTAATTTCCATATTTCGTTTCAGTCAACCTGTTTATTGACGTTATGTTTTATATCATTATGTTTAGAAAATGCATTTAGTAACAGTCAATACATAATAAGGATAGGGGAATAGATAACACGTATAACACCTGTCACACTATCTACATGTCTGACTCATCAGGACAACCAATCATTGTCATTCTCACCCACACATCAATAACACGATGGCGTTTGAAGCGAAAGGTAATGGGTTTGAGTCTCAGAGTGAACATCAACTCTGAGATGCAGGTACATCCAACTGACGAGTCCCAAATAGGACGCAACGCGCGTTCTAGATTCCACTGCAAGCCACTATTCATCTTTGCTTACAGGTTGTTGTTTAAATGTACAAACAACTTAGTATTTAAAAAAAACATTACTTCTATTGATCCGATGCCTGATGATTCATGTTTTATATTTTTATTTGCAAACATTAAGCAATTGTAATGATGAAAAAATATATAACCTAGATACGATTGTAGAGAGTTAAATTGTGATTCATAATGAGTTCCCACTTATCTGACTAAACAACATGTGATTTAACAACTTCTGTTTACATTTTTGTCACGAAACGAATCAGCCACTTGGAAATAGCTGATTATGAATTACGAAGTTTTAGAGTATATTTTATCACTGAATAACATCATTTTTAGAACTAGTGAGAATTGTCGTTTCAACAGCGATCAGCCTTGACTTCATTAGAAAAGAACCAATGACCTTAAGATCTCATAAAGATGATTCTTCAAAGCCTGTTACTAGGAATCCAAAGGTTGCTGTATACCATAGAAGAATGGCATTTAAAATCATAGTCAATTAAAGTTGCATTCAGCGATTCAAGGATATCTTGATTGTAACGAGACTGGGAGACCGTGTTGTCTATCGTACGTGAACGTTTTGGTTGTACATTGTTTAGGAGTTTTATACTAGGATGAAAAAGTTGGAAGTATCCTGATCACTTGAGTATTTCCTAACTAGTATTGTGGTGCATGCTATTTATGATGATCGATATAAGTAGTATGTAGCAGCAATCAGAAGTCGAAAACCTGTCAGCAGGAAATTAAAATGAAGTGAACAGGAAATTAATCGGGGAACAATAAAAATAACGTCAGAATTAGAGGAATAATGTAGTTTATAAAGGACAAAGCAAAGAAGCTTTTCAAACGATGTATTTAATATACGATTCTCATATTTCAATAATCGCCTATGATTTTGCATGTAATAAAAAACTGGTTTTCCGCAATCTCAGTTTTCCTTCACTACAATTCCAGTTCACTCCAAAAAACTACCGTTAACATTAAATTAATCTCCATAAAACTACCTAACGAAATTGTTATCTTTATAATTTTATAAATTCTTAATTTATATGATCAGGAACATAAACTGTAAAGCTTCAAATTTATATACATCATCTATGGTATTGGTATTTGTGTTTTACGTGTTCAAACTAGGATGTTCAGCTTATTTTCTCATTCAATAAGAAGGTGTTGGATATAAAAAAATGTCATTTACACAATCAAGTGTGACTTTGTTTTTTTTCCATAAACTGAATTACTCTTGTCATTGATAAAAAGAGTAAATTTCTATAGTCAATACAATTAGTTGAAATGTCTCCTTTATGCTTAATTTGCATCGAATTATTCAAGAAAATGTTATAATGAGATCAGCTAAATTTATGATTCGTTGGTATATTTATGTTATATCCCGATAACAGTAGTGAATGGTAACTTTGGGATCCATTAATGAACCAATATTATGCATATGATTTTTCTCGAATATTTGCTAAATAATTAAATTACTCATATTCATGTTCCTTTCATTGTGAACTTTATTTTGACCCTTGGACTATTATTGTACGATTTACCATTCCTGAGTTATACCCAGTCTATTAATTACTGCTCCCCCTATTCACAGCCATATTTGGCTAACTCTTGTACAAATATTATTTTCTATTTTATTGGTTGTTGTGGTCAGTCTGTTTGGTATATAAACTCAGTATGTTTGAAATACAATGGTTTATATTGCAGAGGCTGTTATTGGTGTTTTGAACTTAACTAGCTGGGCTAGGCAGAAGCAGGATCGATAAGTACTCAAGACTACTCGTACGGTTTTCGTGTGTCACTGTTGCAATCGATAATTCGCTGTTCTCTGATTGGCGGTCTTATCACGTCTTACATTAACTGGGCATCCACTCGGCCACAAGATATAACAAATTATCATTTGATCAAATCAAACCAATCAACTTTGATCCAACATGGAGTAATGAATGATATGAAAGTGATTATTAATATTTTCTTTTGATTTGTATCTATGACACACAAATTCTTTATTAGTAAGCTGGTAGTTTTGAGAATATATCTTAAGTCATTTAAATTGTTTACCTTCTGTCACATAAAACAGTATCATGTCAAAAAACAAATATTTTCCAGCAAGATTAGATTAAACTGACATTATTATCCAACAACTCCATTATTTTGTAAAACGATATGTCGTATACATCATTGTCTATCATGAATGAAGTTGTAAACTGATCGCGAGGAAATAGTGTATGTGGAGGAATACAAATACAAATACTAAAATATAGTAGTAAAGTTATTGAAGAATATTGTATAAAACCAGTTAATGATATATAAAAATAAATATACGGGTACAATCTGGACATTACTTGTTAACTAGTAGGTGTAGCGTGTTCAACTGATCAATTAATCCAGGATAATGGTATATGATTAGTAATTCCAAAATATAGCATAGAATTCAAAGTATTATACCACATATTGTCCAGTAATGAAAAAAAGTGTAATCCGTGGACACATATGACAATCATACTAGTTGTCTGTTCATATAGAAGCTGATTGACTAAGAACAATAATAAATAGGATAAAAGCTAGTTCGTAATTGAAATTAACCCTTTTCATTTCAGCGACCTGGAACACCTTGCGTGAAGGCGGTCATTATATATTTGAAGTGCCTCAGGTCGGCGACTTGTTTGTTTGTTAGCTTAACTTAGTAGTATGTGTCCCTTTAGGATTTCTATATATTTTATGAAACACCAAATGACGAATAACCACGCATATCGTACGTTTTTGTCTTTTAGTTAAAGAAAACCTCTGTTATACAATGTTTGATTCCCGACCTATGGCTAGCATTAACTGATTTTCTCTCTATTTATTCAAGAGTAACACTGCATCAGGTACTTCTGACAGTATTTCGAAAGACAACCGATAATGTTCGTCAGACAACCATATCTCAAAGGTTCTTGACATGGGATGAATTCAAAAATGTCTTAAACGATTTTCAACGTGTAAGGAAAGCATAATTATGATAAGTGAAGATAACATATGCTCATTACGTCCGCATACAAAGTAAAGAAATCCCTATTGAGTGACGTAAATATGCATTTGTTTTCCTTGAGTTCATGTTGGTCGTGAAGAGAAAATCCAAGGACTTGGTACTATTAGTAAACCGTAAGGTTCTCAAACTCAATGTAACAACGTAGGTCTAAGTTTCATAGCTGTGAGTCCATGCTTCGAGTGGCCTTACGTAGTGGAAGGTCTTTTAAGACGGTTGAAAGCCATCCGCGTACAAGATTTATGGTATATAGTATCCTACGAACTCATGACGTGTACCGCAAAAGTTCAAGGTCGAACTTAGAGAATAATTTGTTATCAATATCAATCACTGCACAAGTTAAATGAAATTATGAACTGTGAATAATAACAAGAATTATTTACAAGATAAGTCTATCTTAACCATCTTCATACACATTTGTTTAAGGATAAAAGTATGGAAGAGATAGATTACTGTAACCACACTGTAAAACAGTGGCCCATGGAGTTCAATCATATATGAAGTGATAAAATTTCAGCGATCACAATAGGTTATAGTCTGATTGTATAAATAGTTAACCGAAGTTGGAAATATGAACCACTGAATCCTAGCTAAGCTTTTTGGAAGTAAAGCTCTATGTGTGTGCTCTGAAGCTCCTAAGTGTTACGCCCTATGGACCTGCTAATATGTCACGTGACTAAACCGCTAATCAGAACACAGACTTATATGAGGTTGTAACTGTGCCAAATGAATGACGCATAAACCAGTACGAGGAGCCTAGAGTCAACTCTGAGTTCTTGTTGACCCACCGAGTTAGTAGCTTCTCACCTAACCCAGCCAGTTCAGCCCACAACACCAATATTAACCTCCGCTATATGAATCATATATTTCAGACACCCTTTTTTCTATACAAACAAATCAGATTGCATCATAATATAGAATAGAAAATAACAATTATACAAGATCAGGTCAAAGGTGGCCGTGATTGTGAGAGACTGTAACTAATAAATTGCGAATAACTTAAGAATAGTCAATCGTATAATAGCAGTCAAAAGGTCAAACAGAATTTTATAATAAAAGGAATATGAATATACATATAATGTAGTTACTTACTGATTATACATTAGAGATGTATATATAATAACCGTCCACAAATAGTTCCCAGAAGTTACACATAATTTAATCTTCTTCGGATACAACACTAAATTTTACATGCTTATTTATAAAAGTACTTATTAATTTTAACTACCATTTAAAAAATATACGTTATATCCTATTCCAGTTCTTATGATTTTCTATTCCGAACTACTCTAATCTAAACTTCATTAATTAGCGTATATCAAATTTAAATTGATATCATCAATGTTAGATCACTATTGAAAACCTGGAAGCCTTGGACAGCCGTTTCGTTCACACATGAGACCGCAGGTTATGTGCTTGATCGTGGATAGGCACTGTCGCTCAGAAAACCCATATTAGGATGAAAAACAGACATTTAATGCTTCTAGGTTTTCAATGATCATTTAAAATTGTATCATTTATGATCTCACTTTTAAAAAAATTTGACAATCTCCACCCCCCCCCTATTTTTATTTTATTCTATAAAATCTTATTATTATTATCATCATCAATTTTTCTCTCCAAAAATTCAATTCAATCAATGAGTATTATTCATTTATATTCATAAAGAAAAAAATATATTGATCGATTGTATAGAATATTGATGAATGATACTAATATATTGATTATTGATTGATTAATATAAATATAAAATAATATGAACTATTTATTATGATTATATAATATCTAATGGAATAAATAAATTTGATTGGATAAATTTTAAAGAAAGGGAAGTTTATTGATTTTTCAAGCACATTAAATGATGAAATATATGTATTTATAAAAAAAAAAAGCACATAATTCGAAATCACTTTTGAGCATTATCACCATCATCATCATCATTATACACAGATTAATAAACAAAAGAAACACAATCATGTTATATTAAACAACCCTATAATAATTAATAACAACAAAGAAAATGTTACATAATACTACAACTATAGATTATAATCAGTTAGTTGGTGGTTTTCGTGCATATCTATGTCCAATTATTGCAATGATTGGTGTGATAGGAAATAGTTTCATTATATTGATTTTTTTAAAAGAAAAACCATTATCAAGATTTTCAATTTATTCAATCTTTTTAGCTATTACTAATATGATTACATTAATAATGAATACATTTATTGATGATTTTCTTGGACGTGGTTTATATTATTTAACTAATCATCAATACTATTTTAAATTAGATACAATTTCAAAATTTTGGTGTAAAAGTGTTGAATATCTATCGAATACAATGTATTTTACATCATCTTATTTAATTGTTATATTTTCAATAGATCGTTTATTAACTATTCATAAACCAATTAAATTCTATTCAATATATCATAAACATTGGGCTTTAATTGCATGTATTTTAGTATATTCCATTGGAATAATTAGTAATTCACCATTATTATTTGTACAAACATTAATAAATGATACATCAAGTCGAACAAATTTTACATGTAGAATGATATCTGAACATCCAATAGCAAAATTTACAATAGCATTTGAAACAATTGTTACATTTACAATACCATTTTGTCTTGTATTATTTTTAAATATTTTCATTTGTATTGAATTATGGAAATTGAAAATTCATCGAACAACTTTATTACCAACTGATTGTTCTAGGAATCGTATGGAAATGGGACGAGTTTTTGGACATTTAGCTTTGAGTACTGCATTCTTATTATTATATTTACCAATGGTATGTTTTGTATTAATACGATTGAGTCAAAGTTTATCACATGTGGATAGGCATAAACCTTATGCAATGAATATTATTGATTTGTCTAGACTTTTCTCATCTGTTAAAGATATTACTTATGCAGTGAACTTCTTCCTGTATTTAATATTCTTGCGAAATTTTAGACATGGATTTCAACGTTTAATCTGTACAGTATATTGTAAAAAGGTGTCATCAAGATCATTGCATAGACCCCAAAGAACTGAAGATTGAATATACATCAATGTACTTTTTGATTAGTTAACAGATTCATATTTGTTTGGTTATTTTTTGAGTTTAAACGCTGTTATGCCAGAAATAAAGCTTGTTAACAGATTCGCATAACATTGATTTTTTTTGTCAAACACTATTTTCTCGATTAAATAGTTATGTTGGTGAGCTGGATTGACTAGGGCTAAGTTAGGCGGAGACAGTTCATTCGCTTTACTTTGTCTACTAACAAATAATAATAGTAGTTAAATTATTTGATCTAAATAGTAAAAGATCTCTGCATAAAATTATTAAAACAAGGTTTTTTGTCCATCAGTTTATTTGACGAATTTGAATTTAAAAAGTATAGGACTAAAACTTGCTTCCAATAAAGTTTTAGTAAGTTGGAGATGTTTTGTCATGATACGAGTTTTTATCTGTTCTAGTCCTCAAATTGCGATGTAAGAAACTCAGTAAAAAAAAACTTCAAGTGAAGGATGACGACAGCGGTTGAGTAGGTTTGTAACAGCAGGGTGTATGATCCTAATTATTGCATCATTTCATGATAAATCGATTTATCCATCTATGAAAACCCATAGAGTAAGACTATATATCCGAATAAAGCGATTGTCCCGTTTTATAATGATACATTGGAGTAATATATGTATTTTAGAACCGACAATGCAAGTTATATTTTTAGAAATTATGTACATCTTTTCCTGGTTTAACTATTTCTATAAAAGTTACAAAAGTTTATCACAACAAATCCAGTAAAAATATTGATTTTTTGTCAATAAACTTATTTCAAGTTTGTCATGTCGACAACTGGAGGAAAATTTTCTGTTTAACTCGCAGTCAGTCTATCAAGAGTCATTTGATGGAATGGCAATGTATTTTATGGTAAAACGCCCATCCAATAAATGAGAAGAGATTTTCTTGGGCTAAAAACACATGAGTATTTTACTTCAAATTATGCATTCATTGAGAAAATCCAAGTTACTACTCAATAGGTTATAATCAAGATCTCAGGTTTTGTAAAACTCTGTAAAGCATATGTTTAGTGGATGTTTTACAACAGATGAATACTGCCTTTTCGGAGATCATTTATACAACTTCTTGTTCATTTGTTTAGTGTTGGAAAAGCATTGATATTTACCGTTTACTTTTATGAGACCAATCATATAAATGTTAAACTACCTTAGTTTATGTATCATAATTACACCTAGATATGTATGTCACTCGGGATGTTACGAAATAGTGTACATGCATTTTTGTCGAGCATGAACTTTATTTGACTACTGATGACTGTTGTTTGAAATTTATGTGATATATAGGTGGTAGTGAAATCCAGAAAGTGTGTTTCGTCCTATTTTGTTGAATGTGCCTGTCTGCCAATCTTGATTTTCACAACTAAACTCGAATTCAGTACTTTTCATTTCAAATACCAATGTGGTATCCACTTGGTTCAGAAAACCACTAACTTTTCCAACAAGTATGGATGACAAGATTTTAATCACTGAAAATTCTCATTATATTAAAACACAATTATATGGACGAAAAATATTCTTTTCAATAACTTCTTATCAGGTTCTACAATTATAATCCCAGATTAATAATCCATAAAATTGTCCAGGTTTAAGGTAGAGCACGTCATTAAAACCTGGCCAATTTTATGGATTATTAATTTGGATTTATAATTGTAGAACATGAGAAATTATTGAAAAGAATATTCTTTGTTCATATAATTATGTTTTATGTATGAATGAATCAATAAGGTTTGTGATTTCTTGTTGTTGATATTGGGGACTGCAAGTGGCCGGTTTCTGTTGTCATACGTGAGTCCTGAAATGCAGGCACATCCAGCTGACAAGTACGAAATAAGACAAAATATATATTCTTTATTTCACAAAACATCTGAAGAAAACTTGTGACTAAAGGTTTTATCGAGGCAATCCGCTCATGGTGTAAAAATGGCAGTAGAAACTGGTCAACTGTAGTACTGACTACCAACAAATAGAAACCACAAAACCTATTAATTTGATGACTTCGGTTACATAAAATATACTGATGACAACCGACTTAATCTGCATTTCATTACACAGCGATCCCACCCGGTTCTGAATAGTAAGATGTGAATATTAGTTCTTAGTTTTGAATAACTAATATACATGATTCACGTGTTAGATCATGTATCAATGTAAACATACCCTCACGCTCTATTTAGTGAAATACTTAACATTACAATAACTGATTCTTTTGAATTAAACAAAACCGATTGAGTAAGTTTGGCACAGTTTATTCAACAAATGTTCTACTAGGTACAGTCCCCTTGAATTTTATCGATGATGAAGGGGAGTCGGATTTGTGTTCGCCCATCTTATAAACATCTGCTCACCTTAGGATGAAAAAAAGCCCACTTTCACAGTTAAAGAGTCACCATCACAACAAAAATCATATGTTTGGCGTTACATTTGAAGCACAATTGCGGGGTAATAAGATTATCTGGTGAACAGTAAACATTCAATATTTGATAGTTTACCTAATTTTTTAGACCAGTGACATAAATCGCACACAAGGAATGTTCAAAGAAATGCAACCGGTTATTACAGAAATCGATTTTATTAGAGAAATATAATGAAACATCTATACAAAAAAATTATACATAATATATCTCATATAATCTACGTGATAGTTTGAACATGCACAAGACCAGTTCGTACAAAAAATGGTTGTCTCTGTAATGCATCAGGTGTGGATGATTTCGATTGAGCATTATTGAAAAAATTCGATAGTTTGCAAGTACCTTTTGAATGTTCGCGTTTTCGTGCAAGTTTTTTAGCTTGAAGCACTTCTTCGTGTGTTTCGTCATCTTCCCTATTGTAGTTTTTTAAAAAAATGATCAGAAAATAAACACTTTTACTTTTAATAAAAAATAATCCAACGAAAGAATCGGAGAATTTTCATTTCTAAAAAGCTTGTTACTTTAGAAATACGTTGAAACATTTAGACGAACAGTCACATTAAGATTTTTACCATAGAAATCCATTGAGGCTTTTTATTGGCATATATGCCAATTTCACGAATTGAAACAAACACTATTGTTATGTAGCCCGAAAGTCTTGGGTGGTGAATAGTTTAATAACAGGACAAAAGTCATGTTTAAAGGCCTTTATTTTTTAATGGTTGTCTTTGAAAGACTTGAGCTTCTCCTGGAATTCTGTTGCAAACTATACGCCCGACAACCACGACCATTGATTGGAGATGTTGGGTAACACGTCTTAGAGTCAGTGTTTCTTTGCTAAGTCCTGAGCTGTAATGTTTAGTCCATAAATGTATCCCCACTTTTTTCAAACTATATTCACCAATATTCAGTCTTTCTCACTATGTTATGATAATTTCGAATCTCACTCTATCCACCTAGGCAGTTTTATCCCACTGTAATGATATCGTATGGAAACTTGGGCTAGTGAACATGTGGATCATAACTGACAAATAATTTTATCTTCAAAAGAGTAGACTATCCTACGAGATTATATTTATTTTTTAATTACAAAATTATCATCATATAAAACGTAATTCATTTACAATAACTCCAAATTTTATTTTAAGAAAGACAAATTAGTACCAATTACAGCACTACTGTTTAAAGATGAAGAATTAAGAATGGATTTGAAACTGAGTGTTACACATTTCCAATATTCCATATACCTAACAAAATTATGTATAATCAACATTTTATAAAGAGATAAACTTTAGAAATCAGCTATTCAACGTTGTTACTTCACTTAATAGCTCTTGGAGTTAGCAGAGTAATATTATTTACAGCGATTTTTGTTTCAAAATAACTTAGGCAAACAAATTTATGTATATGGTCATTCATGATGATGAATGAAAAAACTCGCAGTTGAGGAAAAAATTAAATATTTTTTTCTTGAATTTCCATAATCTAAAACAACAAACTAGTTTAAATTCAACAAACGGATACAGTAGCAAACATCGAACTAATCACGCGAGCAATCCAATCGGCGGAGAGACTATAATTTATGGACGACCTATAAGAGACAGTGTCCTTGAGGAACTTCAACCACTAACTACGGTGAAAATAGCGTTATAAACTGGTGCGAGGAATTGAGATTATGAGCTAGAGTTCGGTATTGAAGTTAAAGTTGTCATCACGAACTGATATCAACTATAATGTTAAAGCCATACGAATGAATGAATTTTGCGCACAGATACACGAGTAGCCACTTTAATCTGATTGGTTTGTCTATAAATTATGGTCCCGCCAGTGAACTTATTTTAAATTTAAAGCCAAAAAATATTCACTGTTACTGTCTCAAAATATTATAAGTGGACAGATGTTTTAGTTGGGATTAACTTCGATGAAGTCAACTTCTAGTCAGCAATTGATCACAGATAATGTGATATTTACTGCTTTTTAGAATATTTAAAACGTCTGAAATTATTCTATTTGGAAGATGAAGGCATATATACTTAGTATGGCGAGAAACTTTATGAAAACTTACCACCTAACTGATACACCATGTTGGTCTAATAGAGAAGATGAGGTTGACCAACTAGATCTCACAAGAGATGGGAAGCCAAAAACTGGATCCATACATGCACGTAAATAACTTTTAGTGACAGGATCTGAGTAAAAATTTCGAAAAAAATCACATGAATTTCAGAATAACAGCAAACCTATTAAAACAAAATACAAATACTTTAAACTAATATTGTAGGTGGTACCAAAGAAGGCATTTTTCGTTGCTCTTGTTTCGTATGTGTACGTTCTTTGTCGTGGACGTTCCCATTTCTCAATAATATACATCATGACGAAGTACTTTTAATAGTCTCCCAACAGCTTTGAAAAAGTTTAGACATTTGGTCAATAGATGAAATATGAACTTACCGTATTTAGAATAAAGGAAGGTGTTCATAAAGCTATTGGTTCCAACAACTGTTAGTTACTTTCTCATGTGTAGGAAAAGTGGAACCGGGAAATAAATGGTGAAGGTTTTAACCACGAAAGGAATGGAAGAAAGTATTTAACCGATAGACAGCCAAAGTTAATACTTTTGGATTTAAAGCTGGAGGCTCAGTGGATTTGCAAACGTCTTTTAGTTCATTGGTATCAACGTCATCGTCCACGTTGTTATTCTTGACGTTGAACACTTCCGAATTGTTAGGTAAGTCACTCTTCTGTTTTTGATGGATTAGCGTTGCATTCAACTCCACATTCACATGATATTAGGGATAATTTTGACGCCAAACACATCCGCCCCTAGACTTGTCTGCATATTTGTCAGGGACATTGGACTAATAGTTGCTGCAATAGGTAGTTTGCTTGTAGATGATAACACGAAAAGTAGTCAGATGAGGAGGTAACCAAGGCATTGTTACACAAAATACGTGCCGTAATACTAGAAATGGCCTCGGAATACCCAAATCTGTAAAAGAACAAATTATTCTTTTCGGTCAATTTAGGTTTCATAGACAGACAAATTGTTTTCGGCAATCATATTTCATAGATTGTTGTCAGAAAGCAACTATTCTTCAACAAGCACTGTACGCTAGTGGGTTTTGAATATTTACACGAGTGTGCTTGATCTTGTACAAATATTATTTTCTATTTTATGGTGTGATGTGGTCTGTCTGTCTAGTATATAAACCGAGTATGTTTAAAATAAATGATTTGCACAGCAGAAGCTTTGATTAGTGTTTTGGACTCAACTGGAAGGGCTAGGCGGATAAAGGACCAATAAGGACGCTAGGCTGCTCATACAGGTCGAACGTCATTGTTTCGGCACAGCGTTAAGATAGGAAGAGTCGAGTTCCGATTGGTGGATAAGTCACGTGATAAAAAGCCGGACATAAAATCAGAACAAATCGGTAACGGTCTTTTTTAAATTCATAAAAGTATTATAATTAATTGATCGACCGATTTCCTATTTCTTGTGTGAACACTGTACATCCACACCGACTTAAGTAATGGTTTTGATCAAATAATTTTCGCAAATTTCAACATTACAATCAAAGCTAAATGGGTTTTATGAAATCCAACAAATCAAGTTACAATAATAGGTGATCCACAAACAATTAAAAAACTTGTGAATATCGCTGTCAAATTTAAGTTCACCTACACTACTTTGAAACCAATGATCTTTTTAAAGTTTATGTCAGTAAGTGAACTAATGTCGATTAATTATTGGCCAAAAATAATAAATAAACTTAAGATTTAGAGAAAACACAACTGCATGTCAACAGTGAGATTACTTCTAAACCACGTCGAAGATCAGAGTTATTCAACAGTTTACTGGCCTTGTTATGGCAGCTTAATTGACTTAACAAAATGGTCAGATAATGGAACATACAGATTACTGACACAGCAAATGTCTTAATTTCAACTGAATGGATTTCATAATGAAGCACAGTCCAGCCAAACCGAACGCAATTATGTATGATGGACCTTAAGGTATAGTTTATTGAGCCGAAATATTAAATCCAGATAAGTTATTTCTTGTCAGTTAATGAACAAACAAGAAATGAAAATCATAAGACGATAACGTGTGTCCGTTGCAACAAATATAACAATCAATTAAAACAATAATTGACTAAATGTATTCTTACTCGATGGGGAGTAAAATTTAAATATAACAAATTTTGTCTTTAATATATGACATAAAATATGAAAACTTACCACCTGGATAGCCAGAACCAAGACCAGTGCCTTCGGGTACACTCCCACGTTCTTCTTTAGGCCACATTTGAAGAACTCGATCACGAGTAACCTGAATTCATTGAAATATTATTTAGACTATCAAAAAACGCCTTTTTTTAGTTCCACGCTATAATTATTCATATAATGTCTAAATAACGAGTACCAATTTATTCTAAGCCAAATAAATGAGTAATTCGAGTGGTGGTAGATGAAAGTCAGATTTGCATTATATAGAGGTGCAACAATATTTAAGCATAAGACAATACTATAGAAACAAGTGTTCATTATCATATATGTGTTCAACATGTTTGGTCGTGTTATTTCGTCTCCGATTATAAGTTCCTAGTATGCAACGAACTTGGGTGATGTTAAGACATGCTATGAACATTTTGAGGTCTCAAATTTTAATGGAGGGATTGATTGTTGTTCACTTGTTGGTTCGTTCAAGCATTAATAAAATGAAATGAGCAGATAAATCATTGAATATTTGTAGCCTGGTACATACAGTCTCACAGTGTAATAAAAGAGGTGTCAAATAATTATACTTGTGAGTCATATTTAAGTCAGCGTTGTACAAGTAGGTGTGGCATCTGCATGAACTAATTATTCTTCTGCACTTGATCGCCCGGCTGATTTCGAATTCCAAATACAATACATTCGTTTGTGCTGATCTAGTTCTGTCCGGTTTGAAATGAGCTGTTTCGGGAATTCCTAGTTAGTACAATAATTCGAATATTTTTAAATATCATCGTTTAGCAAAATAATTTGACTGCTAATTTAATTACAGAATGACACATTCATACGCAAACTACTAATATTACTAACTTTTTGTAGAATGGATAGGATCAAAAAATAACTCATAGGAAATGAAAGTTGAAATGAATTCGTTCACACACAAGCACACACAGAACAACGAAAATTTCGATGTTATTAAAAAAAAAATAAATAGACTTACTTTTGCAAAGATACTAGCAGCACTCACAATTGGATAAGTATCATCAGCTTTGCTTTCAACACGTATTTTTAATTGAGGAAAAAGATTTTGCAGTTTAGTTTCATAATGTTCAGCTTTGCCAACAGTATCAACGTAAACCTGATTGATTGAAATACATATACAAATGAACAACATAAAGCAATAGATTAATCAAGGATAAACATGATTCGCTATCAGTAACTATCGCTGTAAAGTAATAAAGAATTTGACAATCCTTTTAGAACCACGTTACGTGAGCTTATCCTTATTTTTTAATAACATAGTAGGGCCTATGCAGGAGAAAAGCACATTGATTAAACGATTACACAAAGTATATTATCCTGAATACTGAAGAGATTATATAAGTTCGACTTTTAATACTTCACAAGTCAGCTATACAAAATGAAATGCAACTCAATAACCACGTTAAGTTGATTATCTCAAAAGTAGGTGAAACCAAATGTAAGCTGTTGGAAAAATCTTTTAATGCTCACATTAGAGATAAAACAGGTCTGTTCTTCAACCGAGTAACTTAAATTAAAATTTGCAGAAAATCTTAATTCTGCCTTTCTGAGTTTTGACCACCAAATAGTGTGATGACCTAGTCCGGAAGAAAAACGGACACGCAAATCACCGAAAGATGTAATGAAAATAAAAAGGGTAAAACAATAAATGGATTATTTATGGTAGTCACAATGTGAATTATATTTCTTACCTCAACTAAATTTACTCCACTGTCAAGAACTGATTGGATAAGCTGTATGGCTGAATCATGAGATATAACATTTAGACTAGTTTTCGACCTGATAACAAAGAAAAACAATCTAAGTGAAATAGTTCAATGCGAAGTAAAACTATTTTAGAAATTTAATGTGATGCATTAACAGCAGTTGATAGTAAACTGGCGAATGATTTTTAGATTACTAGTTGCTGCATAACATTTTGACTAGGAAAGATAGTTTATGAAGGTAGACGATGTGCATAAGTATTCTCATTTTTTCATTTAGTCAATTTTCTCTTGTTTTTTTGTAGTGTTGCGAATTCAGTTGATGTATATTTACACCACGTTTTATGTTGCTTATGGCCGAACACGTGGAAGGTAATGAATATTATTTTGAATTTTTAAAAGTGATCAGTTTGGATCCATCAAACAATTTCTTCCCACAAGATCTTATTACTAAAATATTAAAGGACACATTACCTAGTGTTGAACAACAAAATACCGATTGTCTTTTGTGGATCGCAGCCGTGACATCCCACCTTTCGAACATGATTAAGGAAAAATGAAACTGATAACTGAATAATATACTCACTTATCTAGCATTTTCTCGGTAATGTATACAGGACTAATGACATGCACGACCGCTGATATCCAATCACATTTATTCAACATTTCTTTAAGAAGTTTCTCCCGTCGATTTTCATTTAATGTCTTTGAATCTGTATTTAAGTGAAACAGAAAGAAAAGGTGGAACTAAATAATTAAAAATTAATAAATATGGATGATACTGATCGGTGTTGATACATTACATATGAATACTTACCAGCAAGTCCAATAGTTTCTAATTCATTCAACTGGCTTATTGGTGACAAGGCACATGCATATACCATAGGGCCTAAACATTAAATAGAAAGAGAAAAAGAAAGTATTCAAATTTATTAGATATTATTACTTTCATAGCTAGTGACTTAAGGACGTAATAATCCACTTACTCACCAAGGACTGGACCTCTACCAGCTTCATCAATTCCAAGCATACATTGGTTTGACTTAGTAAATGTTGTCAAAAGATCCAAGAAGTCGAATTTGTAGTTTTTCTTGCAATTAGATGCTGCTTCTGACAAGCTTGTTTCATATCTAGTCACAGCTTTTGGTGAACTGCCAGACGCAGAATCATTAAGTTTCAGTAAAGGTTCATCACTAAATTCAGTGTCCGAAGTCTCCTAAAATACAGACAGATGACTGTTAGGAAGGCAAAAAAGCGATTATTATGAATATGCTAACACAGAGGCAACTGGCCACAAAGGTTCCGAAAATATTGTTTCCAAATGTAACTTGATCACCGAACTCAGGTTCCAGAACTTATTTCGTTCACGTTTTAAGGCTGGTGACACTACACAGTTTTGCCCAGTCGAAGGTGGAACAACAGTTCGAACTCGAGATATAATAGTTGCGATTCTACTGCTTTTATTACTATGAGATCCCTCTAGCATTCAATGTATGTGATAGCTGTTAAATTACGAGTTTGAATTGCTAATTTAAAATTGCTATAAAGTATCAACTATAGTTCCTACCGAAATCCATTGCAACGCGTTGTTTAAGACGTTCACTCATGACTTAAGGGTCACCAACGACGCACAAAACGTAAGATTTTTTGTATGTTTGTCTATCCCTTTGAATAGACTTACAGATATTCCCCCATAGGAGTAAGGAAGTTACTCAATGGATTATAACCGCGTAAAAATCCGATGAGTTATCTGTGAGACAAGAGCTTTCAGGTCTAACTTACATTTCTAATAGTTCGAGAACTAATTAGTTCTCGTCACATTAATATGACTTTGAGCCAAGTGATAAAACTATGTAGACACCAATCACTTAATGAGATTTTACTTTATACTCTAGTACTTAGGAATACTTTAGTTATGCAGATATTGATAGCTGGAAGACCTACATTGCGGATGGGATAAAGTATGTACAGTTCGGACTTACTTAGTTTGAGAAACATCGCTTAACCGAAATCCTTGTTGTAGATCTACAGAACCGAGTTCAATCACCACCGACAAACCAGATGAAGTTAAATGTAGAATAGCAGTCTGAACAACAAACGTGGATACTCAGCTGGTGAAGTATTGAAGAGGTGATTAAAATATGCTAACGTATGTACAACCACTTCTTACCACGAAACGCGATAATGGCGTAGAAGTAGACTGGAGAGGAGCAAGAGGCTACCTTAATTATGGCTAAGAATAAGCCCTTATTTTGTCATTGAGACATTTGCTTTTGGCAGGCTCGCCAAATATTTAACGGGCATATTATACCGCGGGATAATACTACACCTTGAAGTGAGAAGAGGAACTGTCAAGTACACAAGTCTTTATATTTTTAACTAATGGGAATTATACAAGGTTTCAATATATACGGAATGTTCACACTATCCGACTTCTCCACATAGCCAGTGGCAGTCCACTAGCATTCAAAACAAGCTCACGTGCTGAAGTTCACGTTTTCCTATCTCCACAATTCGGCGAAAACTTTATCGATTTTAGGGAATCTTCAGTGTGAACCTGTCAAGAAATGCGACTAAGAGCCCAAAATTTCCCATGGTCTAAGGATTCTCCCCCACATTTCATGTTATTTTGAGGAAATTTCTAAAATTTTCGTGGAAATTACGGAATTCAGGAAGCTGTCCAGCTTAAAAAGCTAATTAAGAATCTTCACGAACATCAATGAGAGGACTCGAAATAAATTATTCAAATAGATAGCCATTTTACCGGCATAATATCTACTTTCAAAGAGTAGCGGTGACAATATTTCAAACACCGTGAGCAAACTTAGCACTATAGTGCGAAAATGTAGGGGAAAAATCGACAATCCGTCCGAAATTTAAGGGAAAATAGACAATACGTCGGATATTTAGGGGAAAAATCCACAATTTAGCGACATTTGAAACAGAGCAACATAAAGGGGAAATTCTGCTTAATTTCCCCCAAGACAAGCGAAAAAGCAGACATTTCGGCGCATTTCCGCATTATTTCCCCCCTTATCTTCCAATGCATTTCCCCCTTTATTTTCCCTTTGTTCGCTTTTATTTCGGCACGGTAAAAAGTCAGACCCTCCCAAAGCCGCCCGCCGTCCGGTTTCAACGACCTTGAACGACCTAGCGAGAGGCGGTTCAAATGGTTCAAATGGTTGAGGACGGAATAGAAGAAGCTTTCGCTTAACGGGCTTCCGTGTCTGGTAGCAGTGGATCACCAATACCTCCAGGCAAGAACCTAGGTATATGAACGATAATAGAGGGAAAAAAAGAATTTGGTAAATCATAATAATATGTTATCCTTAGTCCTTAAGAATAAGCCAAGTTTTCTCTTAAAGGACTCCTGGGAGGTCGCTTGGACTAGCTCAGTCGGCAGCGAATTCCAGCACTTGACAACTCTAACGGAGTAGAAGTTGTGTCTGCAGTCTGTTTTGCTATGTAGGGTCTCCAATTTCTGGGCGTTACCTCTCAGGTTAGTGTTATGACTAAGCTTAAGAAGATGTTTAAGGGGATGACCAGAAGTATTAAGGGTACTATAAGTCATAAGAAGATCACCTCTAAGACGCCTGTACTCTAACGGGTAAAGGTTAAGTGATTTGAGGCGCTCTTCATAAGGTTTGAATTTGAGTCCCCGAACTGATTTCGTGGCTCGACGTTGTATACGTTCCAGAGTGACCTTATCCTTTTGGAGGGAGGGAGGAAATACTATGTTTCCGTACCCTAAGTGGGGACGAATAAAACTGTTGAAGATTATATGGAAGATTCTAACATCAAACTGGCCAAAAATGCGCTTCAATGATACCAGTACAAGGTTTGCTTGAGAGGCGTTTTTGTCACAGTTCGCATACGATTTCAGGTCGTAGGGTACCAACACTCCTAAATCTTTTTCAACTTCGGAAACTTCTAGAGGTGAGTTACCTAAGTTATAACTATAGTCTGCAACATTTCTCAGATGGACTACCTTGCACTTTGAAGTGTTGAAGGTAAGTCCGTTGTCGTCTGCCCAACTTTGAAGTCGAGTCAGATCCTCCTGCAGAACTAGTATATCATTGTGAGTACGTATCTCTCTCCAAAGTTTCACATCATCAGCAAAAAGCAATAAATCAGATGAAACTTGTTGAGGAAGATCGTTAATATAAATCAAGAAGAGAAGAGGTCCTAGTATTGAACCCTGGGGGACCCCACTAGGACATTCCATAGCCTGAGAGAGAGTGAAGTTAACCCTGACCATTCCGTATTTCAACGTCTGCGGGTCAGTTGGGTGTCCGTTGGGGTGCAAGAATATCAAATTTTCTCATATGTAAATGGTCTTTCGCTGAAGCAAAACCACAAAATCATTACGAAGAACATTGATTTAGCTCTTTCTGTCTTCTAGTGCACACGTTGGACCGATTATTGCTTCGTAACCTCACAGTCAGCCCATCTTGAGGAAGCGTGTTTTCGGTTTGGGTAAATATCAGGAATAATTTTGTTGGATGGGCCTCCTGTTCCATTTTTCTGGGAGCAAAAGGAATAGCAGGCAAATGACCTGAATAAGTTGTGACATGCAGGTGTTCCTGTTGTCATATGCTACTGGCATACATGAGAAGACGAACTCTTACACGTTAGCTCGATCAAACACAAATTAAAAACAGTATTGTTCATCATATTCTCAAACATTGCAGTCGATGGAAGATAGATAGCACTCATATCTTCCCTGATAACAGCAATTTTACTACCCAAACTACGCAAACAGTATGTACAAATTCAAAGAAGCCAATTTTTAGTTAGGAATCATCAATAAGTGGGTAAGACTGCGGTTTCTCTAGCGCTTATCTTTGAGTAGTATTCTTTACGATAGAAAATATGGATAGGAATACAAAACTGTGTGAAGATGTGGCAGAAACTATTTACTATAAAGATTTCTTTGTAGTTGTATTTTTAACTATATATCCAACTTGTAAACTGATTTTTCTTCGTCATATGTTGCTGTTTCTGTACCAGTAGTAATGATACATCAATAAACTTTTGTTCAATTTTTATTTTCGTCTTCGTAGTTTCGTGGGTAGATATACCGATAATCTTAACGGGTTACTGTTTTTGAAAATTAGAAACAACTGAGTGTTTAGTTTATAAGTACCTCTTTCGTCATGAAAACGTGTAGTACCGCATCAGTTTAGACGTTTCGTTAGAGCGTTGAGATGTGTACATAATTTTCTCCACTATGTCAGTATATTCCGAGGAATACTTGAAGCGGTACGAAACGTATGAGGACTCTCTCAGCTTTATGCAACTCCGGAAAACAACAATTCAGTCCTGAAACAAAAAGTTTAACTTCGTTATCGGTATCAAATTCAATAAGTAAATGAAATCGCAGATAACATGATGTACCTGTAAGTTTCTTACTTGTTGTAAAGAGTGCGCTTCATTTTCTAACCCTCCCAGAATTTCATCAAGTTACTGGGTGTTGACAAACAAACTGCAGACACTAAACAAACGGATTTGAAAACTCACATTAGTGATATGAAATCTGAGGAGGATCCCATTACGACATTCATAATACTATCAGCGATTCATTGTTCACATATAATAATGAAACAACTGGTAAGCACTATTTAGATATTACTCGTCAACATCAATAAAACTTTTTTTATGATTCGGTCTGTGATTGCGGATTCTGTTAACAGAAATCTATATGTTAATCCTATGACAGATACATCATAAACTAGTATTAATTACGACATGCTCAAAACAAAACACTCATTGTTTTACCTATGAAGATTATTTTGCTAATTTATGTGACACTCAGTAATGTTACAGATCAAATTACTCACTTGCACCTGTTACCTCTCGTGGAGGAGCATAGGCCGCTAACCAGCACTCTCTATTCAACCCTGTCCTGGACGATCCTTTCCAGTTAACATTCCTCCTTTTCATATCTGCTTCCATTTCCCAGCGTTATGTGTTCTTTGACCTCCCACTTTTCCGCTTCCCTTCAGGATTCCAAGTTAAGGCTTGCCTCGTGATGCTTTTTGGTGACTTCCTTAATGTATGTCTGATCCATATCCTAATTTCCTACTCAGATGGAAGCTAGTTTGTCCTCTCCCATAAAATGCTGTTGTTGATAGTATCCGGCCAGTGAGTGTTTAGTATTTTGCGCAAACAACTGTTTATAAATACTTGTACCTTCTTGACGATGGTTGTAGTAGTTCTTCACGTTTCAGCTTCATACAGTAGGACTATCTTGACGTTCATATTGAAGATTCTGACTTTGATGTTAGCTTTCACAAAGTTGTTTTGAGTTCCATACGTTCTTCAATTCTAGGAACGCTGTCCTTGCTTTTTCAATCCTCGCCTTTACATCTGCATCCGATCCTCCTTGTTCGTCGACGATGCTTCCCAGGTACGTGAATGTTTCTACATCTTCCAGAGTTTCTCCATCAAGTGTGATTGGTTTGGTTTTGTACTTGAGAATCTTGCCTTTTCCTTTGTGTATGTTGAGGCTTATTGATGCAGAGGCTGTTGCTACATTTTTTGTCTTCGTCTGTGCTTGTTCGTGTGTATGAGATAGGAGGGCTAGATCATAAGCGAAGTCCAAATAGTCTTATTGGTTCTGAGATGTCCATTGTATCTCGTGCTTCCCCTCAGATGTCGAAGTCTTCATAATCCAGTCAATCACCAGAAGAAGGAGCAAGGGGGAGAGTAAACAACGTTGTCTGACTCCGGTCCTTACTGGAAATGCGTCTGTCCTTCATGCACCACTTTGCACTGTAGTCCGTTGTATGAGTTCCACATAATGTTGACAATCTTCTCAGGAACTCCATAGTGTCGAAGAAGTCGCCATACTGTTCTTCTGCCCACACTGTCAAACGCATTCTCATAGTCAATGAAGTTGACGTATGGTGACGAATTCCACTCAACTGGTTGTTCAACGATGATCCGTAGTGTCACGATCTGGTCTGTGTACGACCGATCCTTACGGAATCCAGCCTGTTGATCTCGAAGTTGGGGGTCCACTGCGCCCTTAATCCTGTTCAGCAACGCTCTGTTGAAAACCTTTCGTGGTACCGACAACAGCGTGATACCTCTGTAGTTCTCACATTTGCTCAGATCTCTTTTCTTTGGTATCTTGAAGAGATATCCTTTTTGCAGTCTGTCGGCACTTGTTCTTCCTTTCAAATTTTTTTGAATAGAATGTGAAACATGTTTTCAGCTACTTCAATGTTCGACTTCAGTGTTTCAGCTGGTATATTGCCAGATCTTGCTTCTTTCTCATTCTTGATTTGTCTGATGGCCATCTTGACTTCTTCGACCGTTAGTGGAGTGACATTTATAGGAAGGTCAGTGTGCTTCGATGTCCGGTGGATTCATTGGAGCCGGTCTATTCAACAGTTCCTCGAAGTATTCTGCCCATCTTTTCCTCTGTTCTTGAATCTCTGAGAAAGTCTTTCCTTCTTTGTCCTTGGCTAACCTTTCTGGTCTACTATATCAACCTACTAGTTTCTTCGTTGTATCATGTACTTTGTATTCCCCTATCTTGCATGTTTACCGCCGCCGTTGCTAGTTCACCCAAGTATTTTCGCTTGTCAGCTTTAGTGTTCTTCTTCACTTGCCTGTATGCTTCTGCGTAGTTTGCCAGTGTTTTAACTTTCTCTGCTTGTGTTCGACCGTTGTTAATTGCTGTCTTCTTGTTTCTCTTTTCCTGAATCTTGTCCCGGGTTTCTATAGAGATCCATTCCTTATAATGATGCGAAGTTTGAAAGCGGTAACATTTTTTCACGTGGTTTAGATATCCTTCAACTTGTTCTTTTTTAGGCTGTTCCATTCTTAGATTATCATCCTATCTCGTATATCGGTCACAATTTAACCCAGGATAATAATCTTGACGGACACTTACCAGTTAATACATACATATCGCGGAACTCGTCTCCTATATATCTTATAAGAGGCCTCAGCGATTGACATTGACGCGTCTTTATCTCTGGACTATACTTATTGAAATATAGATTTTCCACTGACTAGTACTGCTGGAAGATCCTCCAGCTCATCCGAATCACTGTCATCAGGAAGTGTGGAGTGAGTGTAACAATCTGTGGGGCTGATGGGATGCCAATCATTAGCCTAACGTTAGAACACCGTCATGCTTATCATAGGCCAACAGTCTCAGTGTGTCTAGAAATTAGGGCCTCCTTCAAATAGTTGGTCAAGACTGTTCTCTGGGATTGCCTGTTGGAGAAGGGTGTGCCCGAGAAGTCTATTACCACCGTGAAAGTCCTAGATAAAAACACCTCAGACAGAGTGAGGACCACCTCTATCGACTGTTCTATTCAAGTATTGGGATTAAACAGAGTCTCCCAATCTCATTATTCTTCTTTGACTTTAACTTCGATGACGTTTTGGGAACGGCTTTGATGTATGTATGTAATAGTTATATGGATCTTTTGCGTGGAAAAGGACTTCTCAATCCTGAGTATGTGGATGATATAGTATTACTTTGCGATGATACCTAAGCCATGTAGTTAACACTTAATGAGTTGGCAATCAGTACCCTAATATATGGCATTTGCTCTGCACCCTCGAAGTGCGAAGTACTTTCAGAAGACTTGTAGACCCCTGGACCAGCACTCACTCAAGGTAGTGAGCAGATTGAAGTACTTGAGAAGTTCGTGTATTCCTAGCGCATGTGTACGTGCTAGCTGTGGTGCAGGTGATGAGATCGATAGACGTCTAGTAAAAGTCAGAGTGACTCATTTTCGTTATTCTCGTGACGTTAGTCTAGATGTAGAAGGTTGGGTCTGCAACGCGCTTGTGAAAGCAGTTTTGCTTTATGCTTGTGAGACCTGGCTTCTCCGAGTTGAGTGTGCCAGACGTGTCTCTGTGTTTGATCATCGTTGCTATTAACCACCAGCAACACCATGTTGGTTGTGCGGTGGTTCGGAATCATGTGTTCGGGTACACAGACGATTATTCAATCGGTGTCACCATCTTGGAACGTCGACTTCGGTGGCTTGGACATGTCTTGTGAATATCGTCCCAGTGAATCCCACGTCGTACATTATTTTCTGACATACGGACCGGTCGGTGAAAGCAGAGTGGTGGTCAGTGTATGACGTTGTGCCGTGGTGCCCTCTTGTACCATTGTTTATGTGTTTAAATCAACAAATATATAAACTCAAGCAGATAGGTATCGAGTCACTGTTGATAGAATGGTTTAACTTATATCTAAATAATCGACTTTCTAATGTCTCGGTAAACTGTACACTTTCTCAGGCCACAGAGTCTTAGTGGATAACCTTAGAGCTCAGTACCAGAAAGTATTACCCTTTTGATTTACACAGGTGACTTCCCTCAGCATTTTATGAATTAAAACTGTCTGCTAACAATGTTGATCTTTGGAAAGTTTTAAACAAAATGACAGTCTGGTACTTCAGAACTATCTGATACGAATCGGAAGTTGTGCGAACAATTGACTTACGTCCAACACTTCATTATGTAAATTACTCTATTTTAGACATATTGCAGACTACGCAAACAATTTACGGGCTTCCTCCCCAATGCTATCCCGAGTTGAGAACGATTTAGGAGACTTTGCTTTCTATTATCTGAAGTATCACTCTGTGACAAAATACTTTTCGAGCAAACTTTTTACTGAAGATATTGAAGGACGTATTTTGCAACTTAAACAGTGGAAGTTTCCACCTTATCATTAACATTTTTATTCGACTACATTTAAAGCATTGCAATATAGCGTTTTCTCCGTCACTCCAAAAGGGTAAGAATACACTGGAACATATCTAGAAGAGAGCCACGACATCTGCATGAAGAATCAAATATAACCTAACGAAGAGCTCCTGAAATCACTGGATTATAACCCGCTAGAGTGTAAGATTCTCACTAATGACTTGATGACTTGTAGCATGCTAAAAACATAAGGACATTCCGTTAGATACTTACTTAATCTCAGTCTCAACACAAACATTAGGGACAATGCTCAGAAATTAGAGATACAACGCAGTAAACTAAACTGTGGCCACTGATTTTACTCTTTACGTGTAGCCTAATTCCGGAATCTCTGCCGGCTGAGGTTGTCCAAGTAACTTCTAAAGAGTCCTTCATCAGGGAACTTGATGTATTCTTAAGGACTAATGAAAGTATTTCATTATAATTTGCTGAATACCTAGAGGCACCAGAAATCCACTGATACCAGGTGCTGAAGACTTTTAGGTGAAAGCTTCTTCTATTCTGTCAGCAACCGTTTGAAATATTTGAACTATTTTATGCCAGCGTTCAGAAAATAACCTGAATATTTCAAATCAAATTAACTATATGTAGATCCCTACAGACTTACAACATTCTGTTAATTATAGACATTTTAGCAATCTAATGTGGTTTCAAAACAGGCAACTCAAGTGTTAAAGGTCACTTTGTTCTGTCATTTAAGAGTGTAATTTACTTTCACAAGTGCTACATTTAAACATAAATTTTCTACCATAGCAACATGCCGATACCAAAGAAGCTAAAAGATGTATGTATTTATAATTTCACTTCTGCATATTTAGTTCCTCATTAGACTTATCTCTTTATTTTGAGTTTATAGATTAGTATATGTGTTCACATGAACTTCCTGAACATACAAAGTACACACTGCGTTTCACAATAGTATATGTGTTCTCGTAAAGCGTCTGCGCACTGAATGATACAGATTTATTTCGCTTTTTGATTTGTATTTTTGCTTCGCATTTTCTTTCTTGCAATGTCAGATCCGTTTTGAACCCCACATGCTCAGTTTATATATCATCTTTAATCGATGATGGGATCACAGAGCGCATCCCATTTAGGAATGATAGTATGCTAATGTACTCATTTATTTGGAACACAGTCTGTCTGTTAGCTTCTGAACTTTTTTAGACATAGGAATTTAAACAATAGAGATTTATCGACCGAAAATGTTATATTGCGAAAATGTAGCGAAATAACGAATTGTGGTGTAAAAAATAAAATAAAAAATAATATTTAGTTGTTGGTTTTACGCGTACAACACAATGACGGTCTAGATTTTTCGTGAGACTGCTGGCGAATCCTAGTGACACCATATACGTTGGTAGAAGATAATTGTAACAATTCGCTATTCAGATTTAGATTCACATGTTGAGTCTTAGTATGATAATGAAAAGTATTCGAGTTAATGTGATAACTAAGAATTCCCAAAATAGTTCGATTTAAGGCAGGTGGGACTAGATGAACACAAATGAATGCATTATATTTGGAATTCATAATTAATGGACAATCAAGTACAAAGGAATCATCAGTTAGTACAAATAACACAGTTCTGTTCCAGTAAACTTCTATGAGTGTGTAACATTCTCTTGAATAGACTTTTGAAGGTGCTGACACGGCTTCTTCTGTTAGGATGTTTCAAGAGCTGATTACTTGATGTGAAAATATGTATGCCTCAAGGTAGCATTGCTGCAACAGACGGTTGCCACCATCTGTTCTTTGAACCACGACACCATTAGATCCCCCAGGTTTCTTTTCTTTACGCTTAGTTTACCTACTTGAGCATTAAAGTCACTAGCCACTATCACTAAATCAATGCGCTCAACGTTTTGGGAGAGGTCAGAAAGCTTTCTGTAACACTCATCTTCTACATCATCTGAGCTGCAGTCAGTGGGAGAGTATGCAGAGACGATAAAGAGGCAACGACGAGTTTCCCTATCTTTCCAAGTACTTACTGTTCCGTTTAGTCGGACAGCGCACAGACGACTGTCTACTGGGATTCAGTCCAAAAGAGCTAGTTCTGCCCTAGAACTCAATGCTATACCTACGCCAGCGCGGCCACTGGAAGCAGAATCATGGCTTCCAGATACACGAAGTGTGAATCAAGTTGGTTCTTTATTTTGATATGGTGAGGTCAAGTGGATGACGCCACTCAGATCTTGTATGCGTGTTTCGGAGACGCAGCACACATTGATGTCGCAAGATTCCAAGGTCCTAGCTAAGGAGGCCTGGTGTCCTATTTAGCACAATGTTCGGACGTTAAAAGCTCCTACATATAGTTTAGAGCGTGGTTTCGGGTGATCGGGAATAACGTTCCGTGTACTCAAATCGTTTGCATTAGCGACGCGAGGTGATATAAGAACATGAGAAGGGTTTGTCGTGGAGATAAGAGAGTTATTAGGAGGTGTAGGAAGGATTTGGTTGTGACCAACTTTGTCTCATGTGCTGTTACGGGTATGAGGGCTAATATCACTTCCCGGCTGCCCACACTGTGGAAGGGTATTTCTTGAAGAACCTAAGAAGAAAGTTGGATTAAATTTGATCCTAAGGATCTGGGAGCGTGACTGCAGAGCCCAAGGGACAACTGTTTGAGGCCGGTCACACATGGCCTTTTGGTGGGAGGTTTTTGACATGTTGGCTTCGTTCTTCAAAGGGCCTTACCGCCGGAGACGGAAATCCGCGAGGTAAGGTGAGGAGTGACATTTCTAGGGTCAACCTTTCCTAACCCCTTCCTTCATTGTGAAAAGGCAGTATCGTTGCAGATGCTGGTTGTCCGAGGGAAACACCTTACTGCCGTCACACCTCTCTAAAGTCAGCAGTACGGCTTCGCCCCTCAGACCTTGCGTTGCTGCTTCTAGTCTTTACTGTTCTTTAATCGACCTGTATGGCATGGTAGAACCTACAAGAACATATGTTCCAGCCAATATAGCTCGGTTGGGTCATCACGATAGGCAAACCCGACCAGCACGTCAGGGTAGCAGCTATGGTCGAGTACTGACATGTGGACTGAGCCGTGTTGGTGGGTGTAGACTATCTGGTTGGGATCCGCGAGATGATGGCAATCGATGGTTAGAGACCTTGAATGACATGGCTCAAAATTGTTTGCAATGGCGAAGGTGTATCAACTCTTTGTGTTCTCCCAAATTCTAAACTTTTGAATTCTTCATGTCCCTTTTGTTTTTTCTCCTTCCAAATTTATTTCACTGGATTATACTTCTTGAACAACTTCTTCAAACCCTAATCTTTCCGATTACTGCTTATACTCTTACTACCTCTAACACTATTGGGTTTGAATGGACAGTTGTAACTCTGTGTTAATGTGGTATGGCAACTTGAACTGATGTACGTACGAAGTTCTACGTTGTTACCTTCTGATTGAGAAGTTGCATGCCCTCTGCTAGATTGTAGGTTCTGGGTTTGATTACCGATTGAGTCGTCTATGTGGACTGATAATAAGTCCTATACTAGGGTGAAACAGCTGTCCAATGCTATTCATTCACCAATGGTGATCTATCTAGGATCAGTCCGTCATTTGGACTATAAAAATTCTACAATCTCTACAAATCCCCCTGCAATAATAATTTTCTGTTTCTTGCTTGAGTGGCTAATGTTAGTGAATTCCCTAATTCATTTGTTTCTTTCCCACCTACAGAAGCTAAAATTGTCTTGAAAACTCTCATTTAGTTTATATATTAGCTCCTTTGTTTCTAAACAAGTTTTATTTCCAAGTTTGACTAAAAGTTTTCTTATTAAGGACTTCATACAACTATAAGCTCAACGTATTTTCTTAGTGACATTTCACATCAGGTTTATTTATGTGAAGCAATATCTAGTTGTATTCATTATGTTCAATCTTTAGTTACTTTCTTGAATTTAAGATATAGAAGCTGAATATTTGATGAGAACTACTCGAAGTGCAAATGAGTTTTTATAGGTACATGTATATTCGGAATACAGCTACTTGGAAGTTAACGTAAAAACAAAATTCAGATTCTTTATATTGAGTTCAATATAAGCTTCTCAATCATCATCTGAAATCCTCCACATGAAATTCGATTAAATGATAATTTATCTTTTAAGTAACTTGTATGTAGATCACCAGTTGTCAAGTAATGTACAAGAATCACAATCACACAAATCTGCCTCCTACTTTTTTTGTAATCCTGCTTAATGCAGTCTTAGTGCTATTGATTGCTTTTTGACTTAAAGTAGATTGTAGAACAGTTATAAGTTTGATGAACTTAGAGAAGTTTAAATTTCATAACTATTAGTCCATAAGTCGTTTTTATTTGATTTGATACCTAACTGTTTTGTTCTATTGTCCTTTAATTCTATAAAGTCAACTCAGCTCAGTAATCATGTAAAAAGTCATGTGGTCGATTTCAAATCACGCGCTAGGCATGAATTATGGTGATGCTATTCGCATCGAAGTCGAAATAGGTGAAGTGAGGTCCAAACATAAGGAGTGGTCTCTGAGAGTTGAACACTAACCCATGAGTTTTCGCTTTATTGAAATAGGAACGATGACTGGATGAGGTATATGCATTGAGTAAACAACTATATTTGAATTCGGCACACACCAATAGATTCATTCATCTTTGAATAGACGTTGGGGGAAACAGGAGAAACCCGCATCACGACTGAGTAAACAAAGTAACAGTTATACATCGAAATCATTTTGATGAAGTTCTGACATCTCGGTAGCCTGCTTTGTCTCTTTTTTAAATCTTTGGTTATCGTCAGCAGGGGCAGATGTCCACTGGTAACACTAGACGAAATGTGCAAAAAATCCTAAATTAACTAAAGTTGAAAAATATGAAACATTGAGCTCTAGTTCAGTGACTGAATTTTTTATTGCTTGCTTCGAACCTTAACTATCAGAAGGTTGGTTATATATGGAATTAATATTAAGTATTACTGACCTGCAAAGCTGAATTAAACAGTCATCTCGTATTTTATGATTCCTTATAATGTTTAGAGTGTCATTAGCTCATCTTTAAAAGTATTCTTAAGAATAAATTCATTGGTTTCCTTTTTAAAAACTTTCATTACAGATCTTTCGAATATGATTGCTATCCACTCCTTGTTCTGTGTTTAATTTCCCCCACTTATTCAACTAAAAACCATTTTCGAATTTAGTAAATTTTTGCACGAAATAATTAGTTTTTTCCAAGATCTCCACAGCATGTTCCGAAACAAATAATGTTCGAGGGAACGATAGTTTAATTTACATGCTCATATATATCTTATTTTGGACGTTGTAACACAATTATTAGTAATTTTTAACCGTAAAGGATGATGAAAAAGTTATTGAAAACGATTATTTACTCTGTGGCAACCAAACAATCAGGTGGAGAAGACCACATTCACTGTCAAATGGAAAGTTACAGTTATCTTCTAAGATATGAAAACCATACACTAAATACTTCATTTTCACATTTTCTATCAACTGTCTCTTACAAACATTATCGTCCACTCATTTCTGTTGTTATTACACCCGCTCTCTGTCTACATTCCTGTTCTCTTCAATTCAGACATTCCACTTCTGATTAGTGTTTTATATCACTTATGTCGATAGGCATAGGTAGCATAAACCACAACTCATCACATTTTTTGTTTTTAGACTAGTTATTTGACTGTGTAATGCAATTTTTGCATTCACTTCAAATTGTAAGATTTTAAATTTCCCAACCTCTGTTTCTATGTATTTTATTAAAAACAACCCATACACAGTCAAAATATTTATATTACATCTGATATTTTATTCTGGAACCTTGAAAGCTTCTTCTACCATGATTTGAAATAGTATACTGCCAGATGATTTCTTTCTAATTTAGTTTATAGAGTGTTAACACTATAGTAGCCAGTGATTTTTACCTTCAATTGTTTTTTTTTCTCAATGAAAAAATAAATTTGTAATAACCTATTCAATGATTCAATATACATTACAGCCATTACAGAAAACAATACCGAGAAATCCAAAATATGAGAATATTAAACCAACAATTGATACAGGTGCCAGTCTATCAAAATACTTAAAGAAAATGGAAGAGATTCGTGAAAGTAATTCTTGAAAGAAATGACCAAAAAGATTAATAATAATGTTATTATTATAGATTATAAAATGAAAGATAATGAGATTTTCAAACGAATTAAAATTCCAACATTTGTTCAATTAATTTTACAAATATCTGAGGTACAAAAACAACAACAACAACAACAAAATAATGAGTTAAACAATCATAATTCATGTAGTACACCAAGAAATGAAGGTAAATTTTAAATAATAAACAGAAAGAATATTTCTATTTTGTTTTTAGTTGACAATCATATTAATAATAATAATAAGTCAACAAATGGCAATGGTTCTACGCATGGCAATGTGGATCCACCTTTAACTGAAAGATCTACACTTGAAAGGTTAGTTAAATTGTATCTCAATGTTATTTTATCCACTGATATGTGTCAAGTTCAAATCCCCCTTCACCTATCTAATTTCGGTGTAGGCAACAAGGGGTAGTAGAGCTAGCCAACTAATCAATTAAAGTGTAGCTTAAAGTGGACTACATAAACCTGTATTCGGTGAATGACTTAGAAAAAGAAGTGGAAAGAATGATTAAAAAACAAAAGTAGATGAATATCTTGTTTTTATACTTGAGAGCTATTGGCGATTGGTATGAGCCATGTTGCTAGATGCGGACCGTCTAGTTGAAGCCCGTGCGATAACCAAGATCCGTAGTTGGATGCTTCAGACGACGTGGTTCATGCTCAGTAATAGTGATGTCTAGACACGACAGATAGTGGACCGATAAAAACTGAAAAGGAATCTGTGATGGAAAAGTCAACAACTTTTTTAATTCAGTTCTGGATATTGACAACGTGGTGATATACAGTTCTTACTAATAAGTATAATAATTTTTGAATAAGTTAGTAACTATCTGAACTCAGTAGCTTAGTGGGTAATCCACTGGCTTATCAAAGATACTGAATTCCTGTCTCACTGAGACCAAGGAGCATTCAGTTGACAAGTTCCGAATGAGACGAAATGCAGGTTCTGAATCTCACTACCAGCTACGGTCCATATGATATGCAAAACCTGTGACAAAACACCTTTATCATAGCAATCTACTCACGAAGAAGATAAATCAAGAGAGATTGATTAAAACTCAATCCTGAATATCAACAATGGGATAATACAAACCGTTGATAATAGATAACCGTACGGTTTCTATGATTTAATAACTGAATTAAGATTAGTGCTATCTTGATATGTTTGTGTTATAAATGATTGTTTCGAGCACTTCATTCAAGAAATCCACTGATTGTTATTATATTTGTCAGATTGATAGTATGATCAGATTCTATAAATAAACAAGAATCATTATTATTATTATTATTATTATTATTATTATTATTATTATTCGTGAATTAAACCAATTCATTCAGTGTGCTATTATTAACAGACAATATGATATGCAATTTATTCAAATATAAAATAACCTTTAAAGGTCAATGATATAAACACCTCTTTAAGCTAAAGTTATTCACAACATTTTCAATATTCATTAAGTGTACTTCATCTAGTACTTTTTTTAGTGCTGCGTATTGCAGTGTAATTTTCATTAAACATTTCATTTCAACTAAATAGGAATAATATATTTGTAAAATCTCAGCGAATGAATTTGTAGTAAATCCAACGTTTCGCCTGGCAATCTGGTCCAAGCTTTTTCAAGGAATATATTATTCCTATTTAATGTCTTACATCAACCCGGCGCTCAAATACTGTGAAACTATTCGCTCTAATTTAGACGAGAGTTCTTATATATTTCATTTCAACTGTTTGAAGTTATCCTCACTTGTTTGTTATGAATATGTTAGGGTATCTAAGTCTATTATGTCACATAGAAAGAAATCAATTCAAGGAAAAGTAAAGGGCTTGAATTGAAATTTTACCAAGTTTTCACTCCAATACTCTGCTCTAATTCATTGAGTAGATGGGAAAATAACCGAAAGTAATTGATGCAGCACACTTATAGAAACGATATGTATAACTTTAGTTAATCTTTTGATTACTTTTTTCAATAAAAAGTAAAGTAAAAATACACAAATATGTTGTATGAATTAATTCAGTTTTTATTCAAGAGAAGTATTTACTACTCACTTGGTAGCAGGTTTTGGGCTAAAATAATATATTTCACTGCATAAGGGCTTTAGATTAAATTATCTTTGCGATTGTAAGTAAGGGATGTTTAAAGTCCTCAATTTAGGACGAAACAGTAAGCTATCCAGTGCTTTTTGGTTCCCTTAACTGATGTCAATTTTAGCAAAGACTAATTTTTAATTTCATAAGTCATCCAAGTAAGTCTTTCCAATGGAAGAGTAACGAATATTAGTAAAACTACGTTCAGGATCCATTGCATTTAGAATAATTCTCTACAAGCCTCAAAAAAGCATATAACGGAAAGGTTTCGTAATATTTTTTACATAACCAATGCATTTGCTTTGTTTGCTTACGATTTTTATCTCCATGGCAACCAACCACTTAAGACACACTGATTTGAAATCTAGGTTACAACAGATTTTAATTGAGATATTTTAAAAGTTTATGCTTACACTGTTATTGTTACCATTCTTTTGTTTTGACATAATTTACATAATCACTTTACAGTGTTTTTTTCCTGTTTCATGAGCGTATGTATATTTTTGTGTATGTGTGTGCATGTTTTTTTCTCGATACTCAAGACAGGTACGTTAAAGAGAATAGATTGAAGTTGTATTTTTAGGCCACGGTAGTTGCATTCTTATGCTGAGTTTTTAGTGACATCAAAGATGTATATAACTGATAAACGTTTCACAGTTAGATTCACGTGACTTTTGTGTAAGTTCATGAGCTCAAATGAGATGTACATCTATTTAAAAAAATGAATATATGATAGTAATGTATTTGAGGATTACAGATAATAGTTATGCGTATTTCAAACAGTCCTTTTATGTATTATTAGTAGTATTATTGCGTTACAATGCTAAACAAAATGATTATTATCACTTTTCATTAGCATAGTGGGTATTTTGTTTACGTTTGAAGTGATAAATAGTGGATCTGAGTCCTAGTGGGATGAAAGCAAATTTATTTGAAGAGATCCTGGCAGATTGAAATATACGTCCTTGATCCCACTGTTAACCGCTAACTAAAATTATGAAAGACACTCTACATGCTGAAACAGTTGAGTGAGAAAAATGGCAAATTCGTTGGTAAGGTTTTCATATAAATGAACCTAATCAGTTCAGTCGTTATTATGTAATAGATCACTGTTATATCTTGATCAGAAGTGAATTTGTTAGAATGAGTTAATGAAATGCTGATTGACCGATGAAATTCAATGATATAATGTGAGTGAGTGACGACTACTTATGAGAAGTGAGGCTTCAATGAACAGAAATCAAAAGGCAAGACTTCTGACCAATAGAAGGAAGAAATGTATTTTTTATCTAGTAAAACGACGTGCCTATGTATAAAATATTAACACGAAATAATCATGACTAAATGTTAAAAAGCAATCGTATAGTGTCAGCTTTGTAAACTTCTTATTCTCCAATAAATTAAGAATTTGTTCTTTGCATCATTTACGTTGCCACATGTCATAAAATAGCACACTATAATTGGAAGTTAACTCAACGATAGGCATACAAAAAGGAAAACGATATAATGAACAAGGACTTAATTGCTGTGAGTTATTTTGACATACGGTACTAATTTCTTTTTCTAACTGTCTATGGTATGTAATCACATCATAAAAACAAGTAAACATATGAGCTATGTCTGTCGGTCATAGACAGTTAACATTTATTCAGTAAATTATTAATCAGTTAATATCAAGTACATCTCAGTTCAATGTACAAAAATCTGGGTTCACACTAACAAGCTCACGCAAATCTGACCATTATTCAGTTTAAATCATATTAAAATTAAAATAGTTTTAGGTGTTAAGTAAATTATTACCTAAGGTTTTCATGTTCCTATCGGTGTCATCCAATCTACGGTTTCTGTTAACAAGTACTAAGTCAGTTAACTATACCACAGACACAACAATTGGTGTCGCTGCCAGGGCACAAAAGAACTCATAAATATCGAGTTCAGTGGATAATTAAACGTGGAATATTTTCTCCAAGATGGAACGAATAAACTTAACATGTAAGAAGGTAAGATGACACTTAGTTCCATATTTCTAGAATTAATATGACATTAATGCATAGTTTCTGGTTATAGATTAATGTAGGCTGGGGTATTAGTGGAAACCATTGATAAAGTTGTATGTTATTAGTCATGAATACATTCTTTTCCTACTTAACCGTTTTCTTTTTTGGAAAAAATATTTATCATCTACCTTTTGTATTCTGACTTAAATTTACTGTTTACCAGGCATCATAGTGTTCAATATGTAAATTTTACCTTCATCATAATACTGTTTAGTTTAAGTCCATTGTAATGATGTTATCCTCACTGATATCTGAACTTGACAATCGTATATTTCTACACAGCAGAACCCTATTATTCACTAGGTGTTCTAGTAAACAGCGATTATATTTTGTTTATCAGACTGTTTTTGATCATTAGATTCAACTTATTCGTCTTTTAAAACAACTTCAAACTATTTTTTATCATATCGATGACTTTTGATAATATTTCACACGGTTTATAATTGTCTGAAACTAATGTTCAAGGAGTAGTACACTTCAAACAACGTTTGAAACCGGAGATAAGAAAACTGTAGAAAAAATCTCTTATCTTCCCTGGATGGGCCTTATGTCTGTTATCGTTACGATCATTTTTTTTTACCCTAAGTTCATCAAATCCATTTTTTAAACATTATCCGAATGTTCACAAAGAATACTGTACTTAACAATAATATCTGATCTTTGAGAAAGTTATGCACAGTTCAGGTAATGATCTTATTTTTCTTTCGAAGACTACCTACATTATAAACTGACTTCAGTCCGGTAACCATTGGAAACTAGGGAACACTGAACAGCTTTTTAAGCTTAATATTGGAACTTAGAGGTTTACATTCACTACCCTTCTATAGATCAAATGGAAGATCTGCAAGCCTCGCTACAAGTGTGTTCTCTTTAGATCACCCATACTCCATACAGTGGTTTGTGTTTACAACCGTATTCCGTTTTACGATAGTAAGAGGTTACCATTAACCCTACTTTTGTATAAAAAAACTTTTTCGTTTTGCAAACGTCAAGTTTTGAGAATCCTAAAACTCTAGCACCAGTTTTCTTCGCAGTGCTTTTCAACTAAGCTATTTTTAAAAGAAATTATTTTCCTCATCATGAGCAGTCGTCTAGTCTAGTTGATTGTCTTTCTTGTTTGAATCTGTAGTCAGGATGAGTGACCTTGCTTAGTTTCACAATAAAATGCATCATAGTTACTATTTCTGAATGAGCGTACATTTTTTTGAACTCTCAATATAATGCGATAGGTTTTCAGTAGCACTGATTCTTGAGACTGATAAAACAAGTAGGAAAAGTTCGAAAATTTCACGCTGTACTGTTACACAGAACTTTAAAAAGCGCTTTAAATGGTATCGATTGTGATTAATGAATTACTGCTTAACTTATCATCCATTAACGTCGAGTTATTCTATACACTTTATAAGCATCGTTTTTTCAACCACTAAACAAAAGTTTTTATAATTTTTTACACCCCTGATACTGGTAAAATTTCTCTTAATTCACTTTTTAAGCAGTAATGAACTCAAATGAATCATAATGAAGATAGTATAATCGATACTACTAAATTTGGATCAGTAGTAGTGTGGCATAAACTGAATACTTTTATCTAAATTTATAGTCATTAGTCTATATGTAATTGATTCATTCTCTTGAAAATAACTCTTCATACATTTAAATAAAAACAGTTTGATACAAACACACCTAATTATAAATCAAAGGAATAAGAAAGTTGCTTGAATATCTTTAAAAGAATTGTTTTACTAGAGTTTAGCTAAAACTCAGTTCAATATCTATCGTCAGGGTGGAGGAAGTGATTGTACAAATTTGTTTTGAATGCAAAGGTTTGATTTGTGAAAGTTGATTCTAATAGCTTCAGCAATATGCAAAATACCAACTTGTAAACCATTCCATGAATTTAATGAAACATAGTGTATAACTTTAAGAGTTTTATTTAAGTCAACTTGATGACTTGTAATCACGAAGTAAGTAAGAATAGAACTCTTAATCATTTACCTGTTTTTTATTCAATCAAGATAGATGGTGTTCTCTTGTGCGTTAATGCGCTTACCGAATTGTACTCCCTATATAACTGGCTCTGCAGGAGCAGCTGAACAAGATGTGCCGAATTCAAACAGTGTCTTTATTGATGGATTTTATTATCGAGCGGTTGTAGAAAACCGCATTCAGTTTGGTTGCAGTTAATATTTTCTGCATAGCTTTTTTAACCTTTGCATTTTAATTTCCTCAGTCACGTCAGTTAGGATTTGTAATTTCAAGAACAATAACTTTGAAACAGTTTTTACCTTCGGTCTTATTTTGATTTTATTCATGTGCTTGTTGGTGAATTAATTTGGATATCCGTTCCTACCAAGTAGGTTGTAAAAATATTACTCAACTAATCCTCAACGATATCGTCAGAGCAAATCATTCTAGTGCCATAAGTCGGGAGTTATACTTAGTTTCTATTGTAATTTATTTGTATGGAACTCGAGAAATGAGTATCTTGTCCTATTGGGCATTTTCCATATATCCCTCTTCTAAATGTTCCATTTACTCTTGTGAATCGAACGTCTAGAAACTATCTGTTTTTCTTTAAACGTAAATATAATGGATGACTTTATGTTATTAAATACATTCAGTAAATCGTCTATTTCATTTTCAATTTTTAGTACAATGAAAGTATCATCTATATAGCGACAGTAAAGCGTTAGATTACTGATTGTGTCTTTAAGCGGTTCATTTTCTAATTTTCAAGCAAAATTTATCCTGTGAGGACCTAATAGTGATTCCACAACTACACCTAACCGTCTATAGTATTCTTTAGTATATATATATATGTATATATATATATATAAGTTTTGAGTTATTTTAATTATTATTTACTATAACTTGTGAAATACTGCTATATCGAGGTAGTCCACTCAGATTGTATATTTTGTAACATAGACTGATCAATTGCGATACTGAATATCAATAACGGGAAATCACAAAACCCTATTAATATCTTTATACCCACTAAACAAGTTAGTGACTCAGATATAGATACTGTGTTCAAGTCTGAGTATGAACATCAACAGTGTGATTCAGTTGCATCCAACTGATGAGTCTCAAATAAGATGCAACTTGTATCCTGGATTCCAGTACTAGCTACATACCACAAATACTGTGACTTTTACTAGTCGGTTTAAAAACTTCAACAAATGTAGTTTCTCATCGCAACTATATAAATGGATAGGTCGCTTGTTCTTCTGAACTTGTGGGGACAATACAATACTAGGTTTAACCATCTTTTTTATTATTATTATTATTATTATTATTATTATTATTATTATTATTATTATTATTATGACTATCGCTTCGACTGTAACGCAATTTCATTTTAAAAAAATACAATATAGTCTTGTTACTGGTGTTGGAGAATTCGACATATGTTTTGGTCAGTCACGTTCACAAATCTCAGATACAACTAGCAAACAGAATTCATCAGTCGATAGTCCATATTTATTACTTGATGTAAGAGATCGAGATGATTATGACGCATGTCATATTATAACAGGTAACTTCTCAATACCCTTTTCAGTCTTCGTTTTGTTAATTTTCTCTTTTGGTATACAGTAATACAATAAGATGCATCAACGTTGACAAAAACCGGTTCATGACAGATCCCTATATTGTCTATGTCTTACTGACTGATCAATTGACTAGTAATGTGAAATTGTGGTTGAATTCGAAAATCTGTTCACTTATTCTTATATCACCACACGTCAATAGGTGAAACAGTCTTAATGGTATATAGGATTTAGAAAACGTATTAGCGATTTTTCTGCATATCAGCTAAAGTTAAATATAAGTATCGCATTATTTCAACAATGAAGTTTTAGGGTATGAGATAAAAAAGAAAAAGCTATCATAATACATAACTTCGTTATCTTCCCTAAGTTTTGAAACTATTTTATGGTGTTTTTTAATCCTCTGAACTTATTATTTCTTCGCAAATAATCGTTATAAACGGTAGGATACTAGTTATAACGCTAGGGTTTCTTGTTATAACAGTTCTTTCACTTTTTACACGTATGTGGGACGTTAATTCACCTTAGACGAATATCTACACTAGATTCCCACCCAGTGTCTATTCTACAGGACTTCAACACAACTCAGATCAAGAACACGAGATTAACCTGACTACAACGTCAATATAATTTCCACACCAAAATCCGACACAATCCAACAACAAGGAACAGTCAATCCATAAAAGTCAATAAACAGTAAGAATAGGGGAATATAGAACACATACAACACTTGTCACACTATCCACATGTCTGACTCAGCAAAACAACCAATTGTCCTCATTCTCGCCAACACATCAATAATGTTATCTATACTTAATCTTTTCTGCTACCACTAATATTGGCGAGTGAGTTGTGCTACAGAGTATCTTCGACCGCCAAGTAGCTGATTTTAATTTCCATATTTCGTTTCAGTCAACCTGTTTATTGACGTTATGTTTTATATCATTAGGTTTATAAAATGTATTTAGTATGAATTAAAGTAGGAAATTGGACTTATTGAAGTAATTTGATCATTCAACTAAAGATTTATTGATGAAATTGATGTAATACTAACCAATTATTATTGAGAAATGCATTATTTGCCCAAAATCTCGATCTAAATTAGTCGAAAAAAGATATTTATAGTAAACATAATTTTAATTTTTTTAGTTGCACTGTTACCGTTGAATCATCGCTAATTTTAATTGGGCCCCTAAAAATTGTGAAACAGTCAATTTTGTACACATTAACAGCAGTTGGAGTGAAGAGAAAGAACTTTTAACTTTAATTTATTTTCTCAATAGTTTTAGGAAATGGATCAAGAGTTAATGAGGAGGCATAAGACAGATTCATTTAAAGAGTATTTTGTTGCATTAAATCATCTCACTAACTCTTTCATTCGTAAATGACTTAATATTTCGGTTTGCGTAGTTACATTTGTGTTATAACAGTCATAATGATTTATACTGTTATTACTGTTGTTATTATTATTATTATTAATCATTGTACACATCTGTCATTCTCTTTTTTTCCTTTCTCTTTAATTAACTCAGCTCGTAATTATCCAATTGCAATGTTATCACGTAGTGTAAATTTTGAAACTACTGAAATGTTAGCTTATCGTAATCGACCTGATCATATTATTATTGTATATGATGAAGATGAACGTTTAGCACCGAGAGCTGCAAGTACATTAGTACAAAGAGGTTATTGTAATTTATTTATGTTATCAGGTGGATTAAAAGTTAGTTATTATTGAATATATTGCTTTTTTTTCTTTTTGCTGAAAATTTCATGATTCTGTTTTTATATTGTAGTGTAAGATGAAATATATGTATACATATTTAGTTGATTAGTCGCTAAGTAGTGAACAATCCTATGTTTGTCTAGTGCCTTTTTTCTTTAATCGAATTTGATCGATTATGTTTTAATATGGTCAATTCGTCTAAATGACTCGCGTCATGTGTACTGTGTTTAAATGTTAGGTGGTTGGAGTTAGTCAGAAGAAAACCCTGTCAGACCTGAGTCTCGTGGAAGTTGACATTTATTAGAAAAGTATATTCATAGTCTGAAAGGTATTGATACTCACTACCGACGAGTGCCGACCAAAATAAGACCCACCTCCAGCGTTTTATGTCTACTATCTCCAATCTCCTCTTACATTAAAACCTAGGATGAAAAAGTATTTTCTCTCTCTCTATTAGTTACTGAATGGTAGAGTTTGTTTGTAGTATAATATTAAACGATTAGTCAAAGAACTGATAAAGCCAATTAACCTGAAAGTGATGTAATAGCTCGTTAGTAATTATACAAATTGACTAATTTTAAAATGTGAACTGACTTGATTATCGATGTATTATTTTCACTGTGGAGTCTAAGTGGCATTGGGGTCAATCCTATTTAAAGTCGCGTGCATTTACTGCTAAGGAGTCCTATTATATAAAGAAACAGCTGATTAACTCTCTACTAATTTTCACTTATTCATTGGTTAACGTTAGGTTCTCGTGAGGAATAGCTTCGAACTCAACAAAGTCTGTCAACAAAATAATTCAGCAAGTTGGTTAGTCAGTATGTCACAACGTAGAACCTAGTACGTATGCATATCGGCTCAAGTTGTCATACCACATTGTTACAGTGAGATGAAATTGTTCTGGACAATCCCAGAGTAGTACAGTTGGTAACGGTGTTAGTGCTGGTAGGAAAAACTAGGCATTGAGAATACAATACGTAAAAAAGCAAAATTAATGAGACGGAGAAAACTATATGGAATTTAGAAGCTTAAAATTTGGGAGAAAACAAAGAATCGATGCACCTGCGCTATTTCAAACTATTTTGAACCATGTCATTCAAAGTCATCAAACCATTAGTTACGATGATTACATGGGCCACGATCAGGTAGTCTGTACTTGTTAACATGGCTCAGTTAATCTTTCAATTACTTTATGGACTGACTGTTGCCATGTTTTGATTAAGCCACCCCTAACCTTCTACCAACTTACTCCCACACCAGAGAACTTCCTTCAAAGTGAGCGCTGGCTGGGCATAAGTAGCACATGTCCCAACCACCTACCTCATCAATCGATTTACAGTCTTTGCCAAGTGCTCCATTCCTAAGCCATGTATTTTTTACTCCGTGGTCCCAAAATACATGAGCGAAACTTCGTAGACACCTATGATCGAATACCAGCAACCGAAGAGTATCCTCTTCTTTCAATGGCCATATTTCACATTCATGAAGTAGAGCAGAGTGAACTGTTGGGCGGTAAACTTGTTAGCAGATAGCTCAGCAGACAAGTTGGCAAAAATCAATGGAGCCTTTGTAATTGGTGCCGAGATTTTATCAGACAACAGACCTTCAATACTAATTAGATTCCCAAGATACGTGGAGCGGTCGATACGCCTAACTGATTCACTCCCTATTATTAATTCAGGCACTAACGCAACATAGTAGATGACAAATTAAATCTTGATGTTTTTAAGATGCTCATTTATATTTTATCTGTTTAATTAAATCACCTGTCTACCATATGCAAGTTGGTGTACTTAGATAATATGGTATAAAGAAGAACAGAGAATGATGCCTTAAGACTACTTAACCTAATATGGAGAGTCCGCTCTCCCTCTCGAAATACTCTCACATGACCATGCGTATACAGCCTCTGCCAAGGAAGTTCTACTCACTGCCTTCTCGTGGCGGGGGTGTTGTTTACGAAATTGAGAGGACGAAAAGCGAATGTCCGGCGCTTTAACCGGGTCGGTGGACATGGAATGTCCATCTAGGGGAGTTGGAAAACCTTGGTTCTAAACCAATGGTGCACATGAGCTCCAGTATCCTGAAGGAACAAATGGTGTATGAACCAATCGTTGGTCACCGGCTACCATGGGACTGCATCTCCTCACGATGCTCCACTGCCTTGTGGACTAGACCTTCAGGTTAAAGGCTCGAGGTGTAGCCCCCTAAGTAAACCACCTGCTTTAGTCTGGGCACCTGGGCAGTATCACAGCCCTCACACAAAACAAATGAGATTTGTGAGGCGCATATTTATCTGGTGCTTCTCTGGTTTGATTGCATTGAATATAATCCTGAATAAATGATTGTCAATTTGTTTATTTTATTTTATCTAGTAATAAATAAACTCATTCTTTATAATAACATTGTCAAATTGATTTATTAATTCACTTACTTACTAAGATTATTTAGGTAAAATTAACTAATAATACAGAGATGAAGTTATTTTATTTTAACGAATAAACACTAACAGATAATATTGTAAGATGTTTTATTGTACTTTAAAATATGATTTCTGGTTGATATAACGGATAGTTTAAAATATTTTTGTTCAATTTCTAGTGTACTATGATAATACATTCATACAATAATAAAACTAGTCGAAATCATGAGTTAATTGAAGCTAGACCACCATGGAAAACCTGGAAGCACTGGACGGCCGTTTTGTTCTATCATCGGAATACTCAGCAGTGCGTATCCACGATTCAGCCTCCCGAGATGCGAACTCAGGACCTACAAGTCTCGCTCCAGAGCACTTAACCGATAAACCACTGAGCCGGCATCCAACGGTGTTAATGTCCACGAAGTTTGAGCAACCACTCAACAATTGTCTTCATTGAGTTGTTATCTCACAACAGACGTTGTTGAACTCCACTGGTCACTGCTTCTCACTAGAAGTCCAGGACATGTATCTTGAAGTCAGTCACCAGTGAGCATATGATTATAATCAGGAGTTTTGTGGAGATTTCAGTACTTTTCATAGTTGAAATCATGAGTCCATTGTGCTTCTAGGTTTTCCATGGTGGTCTAGCTTCAATTGACTAATGATTTCAACTATGAAAAATACTGAAATCTCCACAAAACCTCTTCTGAATAAGATTAGTCATTTCATATCAAATTCAGGATTCACTATCTAAAATAATGAACTAGATCAACACTAATTAATACGTGATTGAACACAATTACAAACAGTTATACTCAATGGGTCCAGAGTATAAAAATCAATAAATTACATGAAAGGAAATCACATATTTAAAAGTCAGTAGGAGAAGTGCCTGTTTGTCCACTCACAATAACCAATCAAATTTTACTATCACTACCACATATTGATAATGTATTACAAAAAAACAGAAATCTAATCAGAAGGGGTGTTGTGGATACTATAGTAATTTTAATAGTTAAGATCATGAATCTATGGTAGCTAGACCACCATAGAAAACCTTGAATCACTTGAATTTAAGTGAAATTCATTAGTAAATATACATTAACACTAAATTTCTTTAAACGGTTATAGATTAAACTTACAATGAGTTTTATAAACTGCCAATATTCTAATAAATAAGTTTAATTGTCTATAATCCACCTTTGTGATGTTTTATTCTATAAAGCAGATTATAAAGGTTATTAAGTGTTTGTTGTACAGTTGCATGATTATATATATAATTTATAAGGCTTTACTTTTTTCAAATGTTAATATTGTGAACTTCAATAGACCAGTCTCTGCGGTCAAGTGAATGCATTGTGAGAGAACTAACTTCATATTATTTTTCTAGTTAATTAGTTTCAGTGTATTTAGATTGTGGTTAACAGTGGAATTGAGGAGACATATTTTCTCCATTCTAGGAATCATCAGCTGAATATATCTGAATCCCTATTTTGATACTACTAGCAAGTTTAGATGCAAACACTTATCGTTAGAAACCGCTAACGCATTATCTACTGAATTGCTGAGTTTGGTTAACAACTAATTTGCTCATCATGCATGATGTTCATTATTAAGTGTTTGTCATTTTCACTTGTTGAAATTCAGCACTACAATTAATTAATTTTTTTCCGTACTTTCATCTTGGCTTGTATTGTGGCTTTAAATTTAATTAAAATTTGTTACCAAATATAATATTGAGGCAATCCAATTAGGTTGCACATATGCTTAAAGGAGATAAGCAATTGCAGTCCCTAATACCAATACTACGAAAATAAAGACTGTTACAATTATCTCTTTTTCACCCAGAATAGCATGGTTTTATGTGTGGAACTCATTAATTGGTCAATTTAATGATCATCTGAAATCAGTTAATATCTCTGATATGCTTGATGCTTATTCGATTTCTCGGTAAACGAACGAAGGTCAATGACACAGTGACACGATAGGCTAATCTAATGCGTTGTCCCAGGCCCCACTAACTAGAGGAAGAATTCCAAGGTGAAGTAAAGGAAAATATATTCCGCAAGCAGCCGAAGTACAAGCAATCGTAAGGGGAAAAACCGAAACGTATATATACAGCGATAAATTGTCCTTGGGCAGCATTACAAAATAGCACAGTCAAAGATACAACGGACCAATAGCGTTTAAGATATTTTACAAGTGGGAAATTCGACTCGAAGGTGAAAAGAGCGCTTTTGGCACGAAAACAAAGAAATTCAAATTTTCAAAATAAAATTACAAAATTAGGCCATTTACCAAGTAAGTTCCGGGGATTTAACATCTCCAACAATCTCATTGATGTTTTAAGCCTCAAATAATGTGTTTTAATCTCAATGTGAACATCAACACTGGGATTAAGGTACACTCAGTTAGTGAGTCCCAAAATACAATGAAGCAAACATTTTAACTTCCATTATTAGCCATAATTTTAATTTACAAAATTCAATAAAGTTTAGATCTCTTTAATAAAATCTTTTCTATTCATTATTTACATGTTTATTCATTTAGGTAGCATGGAAATTATTTCCAAAAGGATTAATCATTGGACAAATGCCATTATCTATTTCATGTGCTTTGAAATTACATGGGAAAACTCGAATATCATCTAGACCATCGTCTCATCAAGGTTCTATTTATAATTCTCAAATTAATCAAAATTCTTTTCTATCAAATTCATCAACACTATCTCTCTCATTAGATCGTCGAATTAATAATATACCATTAATGTATTGTGCATTAGGAACACGTGATAATTTAGACGGATGTGAAGAATTTCTACCTGAAGATATTGTTCATTTAACGTTAACGATAGAAAAAGGTGTTGATGATGGTACGTTTAAAATGAAAAGATAATATCAAGATGTTTACTTCAATTTTAATATTAATAATAAAATTTACTGAGTATTGTTTGTTCGGATCTTCCCATTGATGTTTTTAGGACTGCAACTGGTCAGTCTCTAATTGGCATGTGTACATACTGTGCATATTGCCTCGATATACCCTAAATTCACAAGCATTGTAAGCAAAGATGGATAGTGGCTAGCAGCGGACTCAGAGTGGATAACGCTTGAAGCGAAAGGTATTGGGTTCGAGTCCCAGAGTGAACATCAGCTCTGTGATGCAGGTACATCCAGCTGACGAGTCCCAAATAGGACGAAACGCGCGTCCTGGATTCCACTGCTAGCCACTATCCATCTTTGCTTAATATTAATAATAGTTTTTCCAAGTAATGTTTATATATAAGGTACTACAATATTCTTTTTAGTTGTATTCAGAAGTAGGGATTTAATTTGTAGATCAATTTTATTTCTATGATGGAGAAAACCAACAACTTATAAAATGGAGATGAAGGATTAATGAACAGTTGTCTTGGTTATATGTGACAGTTAATCATAAGCAATATAGAACCTTCCACTATCGGTTCAAGTTGCCACATTAAATCAATACAATAAAATGAAATCATTAACATGAGTTCCACATAAGCAGAACTAATAGACAATATAAAAGATTTTGCATAAGAAAATATGATTTGAGAAAAAGGATGAATTCACAGGATAAAAATGTATAAGGAGAATTAAAAATTTAAGATCTAAGGGTGGACAAAGAAAGTGAATGGATCTGTAACTCTGACCGATTCTGAACGATGTCATCTAATATCAGCAACCACTGGTTGAGATAATCCCCCTGACCCCAACTTGGTAGTCTGCATCTACTAACATTGTTTGATCCAACAATCAACAGCTTCACGAATTAGTGCTCCGTCTTGGTTGAATTGCCTCTAAATGTTTGCTAAACTGCTACATCAGCCAATATCAGTCATCGTAGAAAGCCCCAGACCTTGAGACAAATGTGCTAATTAAACCTAGTTTAAAACATATTTGTAGTCTAACTTTACTTACTATGTAAAATATAGCTTTGCTCCCAGTTTTCGATAACAAGGCATCTATGTTTTATTGAACTAGATAATATAACAACGTTCTCACTCCTAATATATCTCAAGAATAATTGAGTTCTTCGATTTGTGCCTGTCGTCGTTCCATTAGATCCTACTATATAATTTAGTAATCTTCTGTTTAAAAGTCAGAATTACTATTAGCTATCTCAAAATAAAAGTATATACCCATCTATTTTACCATTGATTTTCATTTATCTGATCAAACGTATTGAACTGATCATTATTATACTTATCTGTGATGAGAATGGACTATTATTGCTGAGTTCATTTTTATGATTGTGAGTTTTAACGTAAGCTAATTATTACATATTCTAGAACTATTTATCATCCTTTAATCGAGCACTGATGCATTACTCTAATGAATCTAAACATACCTACAATATGTGATAAAATAGTACCTTTGAACATAATTATGTTGTTATTTGATCAATCGACTGCCCCAACGTGCAATGTTTTATGGCGTAGGATAAGGTAGGAAGAAAGCCAGGGGGCCAGACCAAAACATGGCACAAATCCATGAAGTCACTGACAATTGGACTAAGCCATGCTGGTAGGTGTAGACTACCTGATTGGGATTCGCGAGATTATAGCAACGGATGGTTAAAGACCTTGAGTGACATGGCTCAAAATCGTTTGCAATGGTGAAGGTGCATCCACTCTTTGTGTTCTCCTAAATTCCAAACTTCTTAATTCTTCATGTCTCTATCTTTTTCTCTTTCCAAATTTGTTTCAATGGATTATATTCCCTGAATAACTTCTTCAAACCCCAATCTTTCGGCTTACTGCTTGTACTCTTACTACCTCTAACACTATTGGGTTTGAATGGACAATTGTAACTATGTGCTAATGTGGTATGGCAACTTGAACTGATGTACGTACGTACGGAGTTCTACGTTGTAACTGACTGACTGGTATTTGATTAGTTTCAACTGACTTATTTTAAGTATAAACATATATAAGTGTATATTTTATGACTTTTTATTTATTTTGAGCAGGACGTTCCATTCGGTCGAATTATACTCGTTGTACTAATTCATCGACATGTTATTCAACGGTAACCAATGCTAGAAAACCTTTTCGTTAATAAAGAAAAAAAACAAATAAACAAACAAACTGAGAATTCAAATATTTAAAAACAAATATCACTCTGTGATAATATTAAGTGTTAAATATTTGTATTTCTGTAAACAGTAAAAGAATGACATAAGCTATTGTTTGTAAATGCTTTGTTGTATAATGTGTATGTGAAAAGAGTTTAATCGTGATTTGTATGTAGTTTGATTTGTGATTGTTGCTAGAAACATCTTCATCTTTTAATTTACCAACTACCAGGATAACAAGCGTGATACAAAAGGATATGGATAAATATGATGCGTTTAGATTAAACCTCATCTATTTTTTGTTATATTAATTGTACCTCTCTCTTAAATACTAAATGTTTTAATCTAACTAACCTCATTTATTCAGTTCACGTGTTAAAGTGTTTACTTCCTCTTCTTTCTTTCTTTCCTTTTAATCACATATTCATTATTATGTTCATTTTCTTTTTTAATTATTATTTTACCGGTTAAATAACATTACTTCTATATATATATTTTTTCAGTTTTTGATCAGTTACATTTCATTGTGTAATTGTTTGTTTACCCCATACGCTCACTTATTCTCTCTTTTATATATATGAAAATTTTAATATTGAATTTGTTTTAACCGATTAGTTTTATTAAAATGAACCATATCTTGTTTTAGTTATTTTAAAGAAAGTGTTTAAATATTTCATCATATTAAAACAATAATGGATAAATAAGAAAATAATAAAAAGAAAATTGATTTGTTTTTTTCTTATTGTAAATGGTGTTGGTATAAGTGAATTTCCATCATAATGTTTTTACATATCTAATATAATTGAAATCATGAGTTAATTGAAGCTAGATCATTATGGAAAACCTGGAAGTACTGGACGGCCAGGTCTGTTGGGAGATATCAACTCACTGAAGACATTGGTGAAATGGTTGCTCAACTTCGTGGATTGATTGAAGTTAGACATTAACACCGTTGGATTCCGGTTCATTGATCTATCGGTTAAGTGCTCGCGCGCGAGACTGGTAGGTCCTGAGTTCGAATCTCGGGAGGCGAGATCGTGGATGTGCACTGCTGAGGAGTCCCACAACAGGGCGAAACGGCCGTCTAGTGCTCTCAGGTTTTCCATAGTGGTCTAGCTTTAATTGACTCATGATTTCAACTATCCACAAACAACACAATATCTAATATAAATTGAATCATGTTTATAATGAATTGGTACTTTAACATGATCAATTTTTTGAACTGTTCCATGTAGATGCAGATTAAGAAAATAACAAAAAAAATATAACGAGATAAAATGTATACTAACTGATATCCTTATGTCGACAGACATAAATAGTATGTAACACCAATCAGAGGTTGAATGCCTGGCAGTAGAATGTTCAGAAGATCGAATCGAATAGAACGGTAATGTAAATAGAAAGAAATTGTGATTTGGAAGAATCATACGTAATATGAAGGACAATTCATGGAAGAATTGCAAGTGAAGTATTTAGTGTATGGTTTACATATTTTACGAAGACATTCTGTAATTTTGTATTAAACATTAAATTAGTCAACCCCAGCTGAATTCTTTTTCACTACAGTAGTAGAAAATATTAAGCAATGACATTGTGGTTAGAGGAAAAAATATGAATCCAAGGAATAAAAATGTATAAGAAAATCATGAAATTCAGGAATTAAGAGAAGGCAAAGAGTGAATGAATCTGAGCTGTTGAGACCGATTTTGAGTCATGTCACCCGATGTCTCGGATCAATGGTTACGATAATCGCGCTGAATCTAACCAAATGGTCTGGGTGTAGAAAAATAACTTAGACCAGCAGTAAGTGACTTTATTTAATGATTCTTTTTTCTGATTTGATCGTGAGCGGACGAACCCAATGTGGTCTTTTGTCACAATTTTTACGACATTTGAAGTTACAACCAATCTAACTGATATTACAGTATAAAAGAACTACTCATCAAGACTGAAATTTGCACCGTTCCTGATTATTACTATCAAGTAGCTCTGTCTGTCAAAATGGTAAAGATCGGTAATTAAGCACATGTGTAAATTATTAGTATTTAATAACGTAAAAGAATCGTTCACATATGATCACACCGCTGATGAGTAAAACTGAGACTGGGCGTTGTGTACCAGATGACAATGGTAAGTCAGTCGAGAATGCTGTGAAGATTTATTGACTCAAGTAGTTACAATATATATGTACCTACTCTAATGTTCAATGATTTCAAGCTTTGGAGCAAGTTGAAAGGAAAAACTTGAAGCTTTTCAGCAATATATTACCCTACTAGCTAAATAACACAAATAAACGAAATATTTGATGCACGTTAACCAACAAACATGGCACCCATTATTGTGTTGTAACCCACAAATTATTTCGTGGTCGTATCGAAACTATTTACGTTTTGAGGTACTGTCCTCCTGAAAGAATAAAGTTTACATCATTTGCGATAGTTGGCATTCAATAACAACGCGTATATAGTCTTGTGGGAATCGATGTGTTCTATGGGTTTCGAATTCGCATCACCCAGCTTTATATTCCTAGAACTAATGTACTCAGAAATCATTTTGCATGTAGTAATACAGATCACGATGAGATTTGAATTTCGACTTGTTGAAGTGACAAAATGTAAGGCTTGTTTAATAACTGTAATTTGATCTAAAATAACGAGAATTATAAATGAAATAAATTTCAACTAATAAAGTTTGTCATTAAGCCTGTTTGAGGCGTTCATTCAGGTGGTTGTCAGCTTGTATGTCTGTTAATTCCATCTGAATATCATAATTAGATACCCAAATGTCAAAAACAAATGAATATCAAATTGTACCATGGTCGAAACACTTTAAAATCTTCAAAGTGTCTTGTAAACTAGCTTCTGTCACCTGAAACCTAACATCGATATTCCTGAGTGAATTCGGTGAAAACCCCCTATTTACCTAATGTCATGAATCGGATGTACTTAAATTCGTTCACTAGAACAGAAGATTCAGTTTTAAACACTATTTAAGAAGACTTATACATGAACTATAATGTTTTTCGTGAAATTATTTCAAATTATCGCCAACAATCTAATCTACGCGTACAGCTTCTGGTTATTTCATGGATCCATGTATATTACTTGATCTAAACTTGAGTTATATAAAATAAAATGTACAAAAAAAAACAAGTTGAAAATACGGTGCTCATTCAAAATATTTATTTCAAAGTAAACCAGCTGTCAGATTATTAACATAAGAGAATTGGATTGCACAAAGGTGTTAAATAATTAATTATTCCTTTTACTCAAAAAAAAATTGGTTTATGAAACCTTATTAGAAAAAAAGGAAAGTAAAACAACAAGAAAAGAAAAACCAAATAAACAAACAAAACATGATAAATAAACCAATATAGGAAATAAATTCATCATGGTGTAATATAAATAAAAAGAAGTAATAGACACAATAAAGTCATGACTGTGTATTTCCTGAAAGATCAGTTTGTGTAAGTGTCAACATATATATCAATGTATAAAAAAAAACTTTTTACCCCTGTTGATATGCATATTATAGTTTCCCGTATACCATTCAATACAAATATATAATAATAAAAATATTAATAATAATAATCACATATAGTCAATGAAAGACGATTATTACCATATATCACCTTTTTCACAGAAAATTACATTTTCTACAGACATATATTTGTTTTATTGTCATTTTTGATTCAAAAAAATAATAGACATCGGTCTGACTTCAAAAACAATAACTTTGATTTATTAGAAAAAAAATTCTTTGTTTTCTAAAGTGTAAACATATTAAAGGTAAGTACGAAAAAACCACAAATAACGTGGAAAGATAAGTGCAAAATACGGTTGGATCATTAAAAGACAAGGTATATGAAGGTATGACTAAGTGTACGTATATTCACAAAAAGTAGAGAAAACAAGATGGTAATAAAAAAGGAGAACGTGGATATCACCATTGAACACTGTGTTCTGTACAGATGGCAGCTAATTCTTTACAAAAATCTTCAAATATAACTGCACATAATACCATTCTTTGTATTTTAGATACATCAAGTATTGAATTTTCCGTATTCATCATCGTCATTGACATTGTTCTATCCTTAGTATTTACATTGGTTTTTAGCCGTTTTATTGTGGACAATCGAAAACTTCTTCGACGTTGTTGAGCATCATTACCATTACTACTACTACCTCTAATAGTAGTAGCATGCTGGTCAGACGAATTATTGATTAACTGTTGATAATTGCTGTCCAGGTCGATTAGAAAAGTAAACTCCGTCATTGGTTTTTGTAAAATTTGTGAGAAGTCAAGTAAATCTTGTGGATTTAATACATTAGTGTTAGAAGATTTGAGACGTTTTTTACTTGTGTTCCTAGTATTTTTGAGGTTTTTCCCAGAAGTACTGATAATATCTGAGTTCTTGTTATTATTATTATTATTAGATTTGAAAGAAAGGCTAAACCATTTCCGGAAATATGACCGTCTATTCGAATTCATCACTGTAATAAATTAATAGGACAAACAGAGAACAGTAAGAAAATATGAATTTACTTATGTTTGATTGGAACACATAGTTCTAAGCTAATTAACTATATTTAGACGAGAGGGCGGGCGGGGGTGGATTCATTTTCAATGACTTAGCTGTATGTGGGATATTCAAAGAATTTTGTTGCAATAAATGCTGTGAGCTATTTGAAATTACAACTTAAACAGCATACTACTGATCACTTTTATCAATAGTTACAAATCGTTGACACAAAATGATGGGCTGATTGGAAACATTTTTTTAATAATCGTAGCTAATTTGTGTGCAATAAGAAATAGTTCTGAATGATGAAACAATTCAAACATTAACCAAATTAAATGAAAATTTTACGTTTTTTCGAATATAACTGAGTTATTTCAGACACGCTGACCAGTGCGTGTAATTTTAAGAACGAAATTAATACTATCTATAAATACTTATCGAATGGATCTATTTATAACGAAA